TTAGCCGATAAGAATTTATTTGTTGCTATAAAGAGAATAAAACGTCGAACATTTGGTTAAATTGGGTCATTTTAACCGAAGCTACTTTATTTAAGAGTTAAATATTTAAAAAATTTAAATTAGCTAAAATAACTGGATGTTTTTAACTCGAATTCAATTAATCTATATAACTGCGATAAAACAGTATCATGAAATAAACATGTCCCAGGAACGTAGTTATGAATGTTAAATTAAGAAAAAATGTTATTTAAGCGCCAAAATTATAAATTATTGAATCAAAATTTAAAATTAAATATTTTTTGAAAATCAATTTGGCTAATAGTCGATAATAACATACGCTACAAAGATCAAAAAATTTTTGCACAACTCCTCTAACTCTTTTGAAGATAATTTTTTCAGCTGACAATTTTTGAGCAGCTAAAAGTTGAACTACTGTCATCGAATCCTAGAATTATCCGCTTTGGAACAAGTGCACGCAATTATAATACAATTTAAACTCTAACATGCTTATAACTTCTTTTCCCTAGTTATTTGAACATTTAGTTAATGTCTAAATTATAAATTACAATGTGTCAAATGAATGTCAAAATTTAAAAATAGATTTAAAAAAAAAGAATTAAAAAAAATAGTCCTGGAGACTAAAGCTATTTTCATTGAAAAAAATGCTTTTGTAACAATAAAATATGTGAATATACACATACATATACAGGGTGATTTAACAACAAGGTAGATTTAACATCAAGTAACTGATCAAAAATGAGTAAAATTTTTGTTTGGAACATTGTGTCAAATTAGAATCGTTTCGGTTCAAATAGATAGAAGATTTAAATAAACTATTTTTGAAAGGGCTATTAGAGGGCATAAAATAAAAATAGCGCATTATTTGGTATCACCTGCTTTTTTGAAAATATTTTTTTAGTATTTTTTTTTTCACGACAATTTCTCATAAAATTTTTTGAAATTCCCCAAAATGTTCTTTACAGAATTTTGCCAGCTGCTTAACCTTTAATTTAAGTCATTGTACGTTGAAAGATATAGCAAAAAACAACTTGCATTTAATAAATGTGTAATTTGTTTTAATGCATCACAGGTAGAACACTCAATAATAGTTTCCCCCGCCAACTTCAGTAATGCCAAAATACATACATAGTTTCTTACCAAAACATTAGCTCAAATTTTTATTTTTATTAATATGAACTTTTTCCTTTACATTTTGATAAACATATATTATTTACTCTGAAACATTTCTTAGGCATGCGTATATAACTAAGTGTTTAGACGCGTTTTGGTAATTTTTAATTGTTTATAATACAACGGTACGTTCGTATTCTTGCCAATAAGAAATTTAAAGATCCACCTTAAAAGAAATTAGAAATTAAACTTCCTTTTGATATATATATATACAAAGTTTATTTATTATTTTTAAACGATTTATAGTTCTTTGTTTATTTTTTTTTATATTTCAAATTAAATTTTTCTTGTTTTTCAAGTTTTTCTTTCATCTACATAAAAATATTTGAAATAGAAATATATCATTTACTCTGTTTGTATGTGTTTTGCTTACAATTTTCAAATAATTTTTAATTTTATTTGCATTTTAATATAATTTCTGTAATATTGTTTACTATTATTTTTTTTTTATCAGTAATAATTGAAAATATAAATTTCGTATTTTTATTATATTTTTAATTAGTTTTTTGTATTTTTTTTTTTATTTTTTTTTTTTCAGTTTATTAGTTTATTTGAATTACCTAAACAATAGAAAAATGAAAGACAAATGGAATCTAAAACACTCCAATTTTTTTTTTCTTTTTTTAAAATGTTAATAAGAAAAAAAATATCCTTTTTGTTTATACAGGTATGCGAAAAACGAGATATACCTACACATGGACACATAAAATAAAAAAAAAATAAAAAAAATATTTAAATTGTTATGTTGATTAGGGGAAAAAGATAAAAATTGTACAGATATAACATACAATTAAATTTTCATTTAAAATTATAAGTATGCATTAATATTTATTGTGATTAATGTTACTAATTATTAATTATATTTTGTATTCATAAAATATTTTTTTTTGTTTTTTCTTATGTGCACTTTATTATTTAAATTAAGTAGGATATTATTTTTTACCAATCTTATTGTTTCAATTATATAATTTATTTATTTATTGTATTTACATTCTATAATAGAATTGGCATTTAATATATTGTTTTTCTTTTTCTTTGAGATCTAGTAATATTTTTAAAGGATTTTTCTGCAAAATCCAGCAAAAAGGAAACATAAAAAATAAAAAAAACATCAATTATATAAAAAAAGTTTTTAAACAATAGAAACAAATAAGTGTTTTTTTTTTGATTTAACATAAAAATGTATACAACAAGATTATAATGAAAAGAAATAATTTACTAATTTTGAAAAAAAGCAAAGGTATTAAATATAACGAAAAAATATTAGATATTCTTTTAATTTTTGTAAAAAACACTACTCTAAATCATAAAAATACATAATTCATATTGCAATCGTATTCGAACTTAATCAAAATATTTAGTAAAAATTTCTTAGCAATTTATTAAATTACTAAATAAAGTTTAACTTAAAAAAAAATAAGAATCAATGAGAGTGGAAAAATACAGAATATATTAAAATAAATTGTTTTTTAGTTTAACGCTTTCAGAAATGATAGATCTCAAATGTTAATGTTTATTAATTATGTTTTTCTAAAATTGTAAGTACTTACTAAAATTAGAAATTTATTAAAACTAAAACGAACTATTGCTAATTGCTATTGCCTTACAAATATAAAACGTTAGTTTTAAATATTTTACTTATTTTTTTTTTCAACGATTTTTTTATTTCTTATGGATACAAATTAAACTAAAATTATTTACGTATTTTTATTGTTATTTCAAGATGTAAATAGTATGATATTATTGTTTTAAAATAAAAATAATATGCATAGCTATATCATGTAGATAAAAAATAAAATAATATTGAATAAAAAATATTTTTACATACATAAATTATAATTTATCGATTGAAAAAAAAAAAAATTATTTTATTTTTTCTTCAATCATTTGAATTATTTCCAATAATAGTGTTCAAAATTTCATAAAAATAATCATTGATAGTTTTAGAGGTAACTTTATTAAAACTAATTTACATTAACATAATTATGTCTATTGAATAAAAAAGATAAATGGAAATATCATAAATACCACAACTACGGTATGAAATTTTAGAAATAAAAGAATAAAATTAAAACATTTTAGTCAAATTATAAAAAGACGAGGAAATTTTTAAAATATTTTTATGTACGATTTTCAATTTCTTTTTTGTTAGTGATGATAATCGTTGTTTTGTTAATCTTAAACTTATATAACCATAATGGTAGCTTTATTTCTAATGCCTAATAAGTTTCCATTTTAATTAATTGAATAAAATCACTGAAATACTTTTTTTTTATCAAAATATTTATGGTAAACACATATATTTCATTAAATTATTGTTTTTAATTTTTCAAACTACTATAGCTTTACCAGTGTTTCAAATAAAATGAATTAAGCATTTGCAACGTCACACAATTTGTTTTAGTTATATATTTTGTAATATGGTGTGCGAAGAATTTTCACAATGCTCTAATGAATAAAAAGTAAATAAATTAATGTGCCAATTTTTGATATTTTGTCATTTATTGGTTTTATTTCTTAAATTTATTAAGATATTTTAATGAAATATTCAAATGAATTACGAAAATAAGGAAGTTATTGACTTTTAAAAAATTTTGAGCAAATTTTCCAAAATAAATATTCACCCATAAGTACCTACAGTTTGTTTAAACTTTCATGTGCATAGCTTGAAAAATTCCATAATCTAATATAATTAGTATAATAACATTCTTCAGAAATAGTATCCACATTTCTCATTAAAAATTTGTAATTATTATAAAATTATTGTTGTGAAATTAAATCTTCCTTTTCGCGTCTTATATCCATATGATAATCAATGTCTATATTTTATATTTTATGCCACAAAAATTAAAAAAACAAAAAAAAAAAGAAATTATATAGAATATAAAAACATATTTTTTGTTTTGTTTAAATTTGATTATAAACATAAAATCACGCATGAAAATGTCTTTATTTTCAAGAATAGATAATTTACCTCTTTTTTTGTAACCAGTATTACGTTTAAATGCAAAATACAGAAAAGTATAATTTTTCAATCAAAGATTAACTACAATATAAAGCTCATTTATAATCATAAATCAATTTATTATAAAAAAAAAACAAGTAAATAATTTACAAATTTTGTACGGACCGAATTTAAAAAATTTTGCAGACACTACAAAGTTATTGTGCTCTATGAACATAGAGAAATAGGCCCTTGAGTCATAATTTTAAAATATTTATTAGAAATTCTTGGAAAATATTTAATTTCTTTATTTATTTTGAATAGAAAGTTTAAAGTTAAAACAGTTTCTACCTTTTTCATTATTTATTTATTAGAAGTTCTAGTTTTTTTTAAAAAAGCACTTTTCCTTATTCATTTCTTCTGTTTTTTATATAACACTTTTTCAAAGAGACCTTGTTATTCAAAGCTCTTTTATCAAATAGACTTAAATATTTTCCTTCGAAAAAAAATTAATCTGGAGCTTAATTAAACAGTCATCATAAATATTGTGACAAACAGCACCCCATTAATTCTTTATTTATACTTCTCTCTTTAATTTACTAAATATTTCGTTAATTAAGATTTATTAAATTTAGAAAGACCGTAAACTTCAATTTTGCTAACAAAATTGATTTTGAAATTACTCTATTTAGGTTTTGAATTGGAAATTTTAAATTCTAAAAAAAATACTTTTTTATGCAAAAGATTATCAACATTAAAAATTTTAGAAAAATAAATTCATTTCAGCTTAATTATATTTAAATCTGAAATTTTATTCAATGTAAATATTTACCTATTTTAAATTATTTTTGTGCATTTTTCTTAATTAAAGAGAAATAAATTTTATTTAAAATGAAATCACACATTATATCAAGCTATAATTAAAATCGAATTTATTAGTTGCAAGTAAACGTAACACGGTATGAAACAGCTGTTTTTTTATTGATTGGTTTAATTTTTTATTTTATACAACTTTATTTATAAATTTTTTTTTACTTTAACTCTAGTTATTTTACGCTTGATAAAATTTTCAATTTTTCAATATAATTGAAACTTATATAATTCTCTAATACTTAATTTTTTTTGTTTTATGTTTTTGTGAATGTGTTAGATTTTATTTATATCCTTCACATAGTTCTTTTTAATATTTTGTTTATCATTAAAATTAATATTCCTTTTTTAAATTTTATATTATATTCTACAGATAAATAGTTATGGCGTAAAACGTATTTCACAAGAGAAATTGAAACATAAATTTCCATTTTAACCGTCTTCTTTTGGAGGGGTAAACCAACCTAAAAAATTTTTTAAGATTAATTCTTTTATTTATACTAATATTGAAATATGAAAAAATTTACCATTTTTTTCATGTATTTGTACAAGAGACTTAAAGCTTTGTTGCGCCCTAGCAAGGCTATACTGTCCCTGCGATAATACCTATAATTAATGGTTTTACATATATATAATATTTCTTAAGGAGTTAGTAATTAAATACAGTGCGCAATTACTCTTTTCACAAGTGATAACTAATACTCTAAATTTTATTTTAATTATTAAGATAGTTTATCACAAGAAACAATTTTTACTCATTTGTTTTACATATTTAAATAAATTTATTTACAAAATATTTACTTTTTAAAACTAAAAAAGACTACTAAACATTGTTTTCTCACTGATTTTTTTCAACTATCGTTTTGTTCTACTCACTTTTGTAGCCCCAAATTGTATTCGAGCTTTTCCTTTGACTAGAGTAGCAGCTATTTGCATTATTACCGCTTCAACAGTATATGCTGAGCTCCAGCCTTGTTTAGTAAGTAATTCCATGCAAATTGCACCTCCTACCAATACATATCCGCCTAAAAATAAATTGCCAAAACAAGCGCATAAATTTGCGTTAATTATAGACAAAAATTACAAAAAAATAGAAAAAGTTAATAAACGTCATATTTTTTTTATTTTATTTTTTTTTTTAATTTTGAATTAAATGAACTAAGTTTACATATTTAATTTATCTCGCTTATGTGTACAAATATTTTTTTACCTGAAATAATTGGATGTACTACTCTAACAAAAGGTGGTTCAAATGGATAAGTTTCCTTAAACATAATATTTAGCAAAATTGAATCTTTTCCCTCTTTTTCTTTAAGTAATATTAAATCATTATGTAGAGGACTATCGGGATCAACGGATTTTAAACGTATATTCCATTCATATATTGAATCATTTACCAATTCTATTGAATACATATTCGATTTAAATGAATCTGAACGATAAATATCACGTAATTCTTTCATTAAACGATCAGTTGCTTGCACAGATCCAGAAACCGAACCCTAAAAAAAATAGAAAAATTCAAATTAAAATTTGTTTTGTATGAAACCATAAGTATTATATGTATTAACAATAAAATTTTACTTTTAAGTAATCTTGTCTTTGTGATTGACGCAGTCTTTCTAATGTGGCAAGATGTTCTACTTCCATTTCATCTTTCTAAAATTTTCATAATTTATTAAATAAAATTACTTTCATTTTTTTTTTAGTTTACTTTATTCGTATTTCGTCCATCATCCATTTCTAGTGGTAAATCTTCATCGCCATCACTTTCTTGTTCACTATCACCAACAGGATCTTCGATTTCATCGGGATCTGAATCTATTTCTTCAATTTGTTGATTTTGTGATGCAGGATTTACGGGCGATGAATTAGACGGAGGTAATTGAAATGGTATTGTTAAATTATCTAAATCGGGTGGTAAGGGTACATTGTGCAAACGACATAATTCCCTTAATAATATTCCAACCTTTAAAAATACATATGCATATGTAAATTATGTTAATAAATGTAAGGAATCACTTAAATTTTAAATTTATACTTACTTGATTAATTACATGGTTATCACGACCATTGGTATTACTTAAAATCTGTACAGCATTCGTAACGCTTGTTTCTTCACTTTCAGCAAACCATACAGGAGGTGAAGAAGGATAAGTTTCCTGAAAGATATAAAGTAATAAAAAGATACGTTGGTGAATGATAAATAAAGAATTTTTAAATAATTTGAGAATATTAATTTAAAATAATATATATATGTATGTATATACGTATGTACGTAGTTTACATAAAATCATCAAAATAATTGAACTTAAATTTCACTTTTAAATTTCATTTAAACTAATAAAATTTATTTGACCAATTGTTCTTTTTTTTTTGGATTATTTTTTGTTCTAGATTCGATTACTTATTATATTTTTTTTGTAAGAAATTATAGAAACCTATTATTATACTCATTTGTATTAAGATATTACATATATGTACATACTTTTTGTGTTTGATTAAGCTAAGTACTTTCACTATATGATCGTATTCAATCATATTTGATGGATTTATAATACTTATATGAAGGAACATGTATGTATATATTTTATAAATAAAATGTATAAATAAAATGAATATGAATACAATGTTAATATAATATAAACACATACCTATGTTAATAAAACATTCCCCGCATTTTGTTAAACAAAATAAATAATATTTCGCAAAACATGTGACCCAAAAAAAAATTCTTTTCTTTTTTTTTCTTTTTATTTAAAATCTTTTGCATATAAACATTTTAGCCTTGATTTAACATGATAAGGTGAAAATAAAATGGGTTATAAATACATACGTATATATGTATGTATTTCAAATCACAAAAAAAAATCATGGAAATTAAATAGAAGGATATTTTTATGTGCAAACGGCTGTATGTGTTTATAATATTACTTTTATGTCGAAAATTTCTACGTATTCATGAAAGTATATCTAAAAATTTAAATGTTTTTTTTAAGTTTTACATTTTTATTTATTAGAAACTAATATTAAAATGAAAATTATAATTAAATATAAATATACGTATGTATGTATATAAGTTTTGATCTATGTAATTTTTAATTCACATATATATTTATTTATATATTCATATAATATACAAAAGAACCAAAAATAAAGTTGAGCAACATTTTCAACCTAAATAATTGCAGTGTTCCATTTTATTTTCAGATACTTTTGCAAACAAAATGTTATTATACATATTTGTAAATAATGCATCAAAATGCATTTTATGTTTTTGTTTTTTTTTTTATTATTATGTACATTAAAAAAGTGAAATTAGCATTAGCAAAAAATGAATGTATATATGTATGTACCCCCCCAGATAACTTACTCCTACAATAATGAATAATGCAACATATTGCACATCCAATTTTTATTACAATATGTAAACAAACTTTGAAACAAATGTCCCCACTTATCTTCAGTATCCCTGTCTTTCCTTTAAAAAATAATTAAGTAATTAATATTTTTTTTTGAGGCAGAAAAACTCAGTTTGCCACTTTTTTCCACCAAAATACATATTTAATCCAAAAACAAAACAACAAACATACACATATCGTCGGTTAAAAAGCAGAAAGCATTAAGTCAGGAAACTGTGTTTTGAGTAAATTCAATTTGAAAAAATCGTAAAATTGTAAAACAAATCAATTAGTGCAGTGGGATTGGTCTCTTCAATTTCTGGATTTATAAACTACATTCCGGATTTGCATGATTTTTTGCCACAACAAAGATTATATTATTCTGATTTAATTCATCTATGAAATCCGAATTCTCAAAAAATGCACTTAGTGCTTTCTGCTTTTTAACCGACGATATATTATTTAACTTTCAACTAGATGTTTCTGATTCATAAACATTTCATTTTTCCATAAAACCCCTACAAAAGCATTTAAACTGATTTCACGAGTTTTAAATATTCCTAAAAATTAATTATATTAGTCTTAGACTAATATTATTAATAAAAATGTAACGAAATAAATAATTGTATCTGATTATTGTATTTAAAATCTAATTTGTATTTAAAACTTAACAAAAATATTCAAATAAATTAAAATATTATGCAAAAATTTCTTTTTCCTGCAAAAATTAAAAAATAATAATTGAAATTTTTTTATTTTTTTTTATGATCAGAACAAACAAGTCATAAAATTTCATATTAAAGATCTCCACGGAAAAAAACTAATAATATAAATTCTAGTAGTTTTAATTAGAATTTTTTTTTAAGATCGTGAGTTTAATCTAATAAAAAATTTAATCAATTATTTCTAAAAATTTCATGAAAGCTATTTCATCTTAATTAAATTATAATTTTATTATAGTTTGGAAGAAAAATTGCCTATAAAAGAAAAGATCTAACTTAATAATTACTAAAAAAATTTAATTTTTCTTTTTAATAATAAAAAATAGAAAAATTTATAATAAATAATAATAGTCAAAAATGAATTAATTTTTCCACTTTTGTTACTTTGTGAATCTCTCCAACTCAAAAAAAAACGACTCATCTTTAAATAAGAGAAAATAATTATTCAACATTAAATGGTTCCGGATAGTGGATGTTTAGCCATTTGTAACGAATGTGGGAAGGGAAATTGTATTTATTTTTCTATTCAGCGTTTTTAAGGGATGTGGAAACACAGTGGGTATACAAAAAGAATTTGTATGTCATTAAATTCTATATTAAATATCGACTAGTTTATATTAAATATTTTTCAACAATTTCATTATATTCACGTTATTGATTAAGGTAGCTATTTTTTTTTACGAAAGATACTCCTTAAATACTTAATTTAGAAAAATTGACAATTCAGAAATTTTCATAAAATAGAGTTTGTACATTATTGCATTATGAATAATCATTGTACATACGTATAATATATTAAAAATTTCTTTGAAAATACAAGAAAACAAAATATATGTATGTATTTTTAATTACATATTTTTTAGTTAGTTACTTAAATAAGAAAAAAAAAGAGTTTGAAAGGTAGAGATACATTAGTTCATCCGTGTCAATGTAAAAAAAAGCAAAAAAGGATTTTTAATAATTTTCTTTTTTAAATATTTGTTGATCTTTTCAGTTCAATAATAAAAGCAATTGAAATTTATAAATTATTTTAATATTTCAAAGAAAATTCTCAAGTTTCATATTGGTATTTAGGTATTTTCATTTCTTTTGAAATTACAATTTACCGATTATATTCATTTTTTAATATATTTTTAATAAATTAAGAAAATTGGTCAGAAAAGTTTTAATTTTAGTGTTGTTTTCATAATATTGTTACTAAAGGTAGGAAAAAAAATACAATTTTATTAAATATTTCTGTTAAAAATACAAAAATTAACTAATTTTGTATAAAGAAAGGTTGTTAATGTTTTTAATGTAAATTTATAATATTACGTTTATCATTTTTTTTTTAAGTAATAAATTCTTAAGAAGTGAACAAACTACATAAAATTAAATATGTATACATTTATATGTATTTTTAATCCTAATACCTACTCTTTTTAAAAATTAATCGGGTTTCTTTTTATAGTTTTGTTTTATAAAATAAAAAAAAACACACATCAACTTTGTTTTGATTTCTATATTAGAAATTTATTTGTGCTCTATCAAAATCCTATTGAAATCCTATTCAAAATCTTTTTTCATATTTACTAATCCAAAATGCAATAATCTAAAAATGCAAGAGCATTATAATTTTTAACTCGCTTATATATGGCAAAAATATAGCAACATTAAAAAATAACTTCATAAGGCGCTGAGCATGAGTGTTTCTACCCTTCTATATAATTTGCTTTTAGTACAATATAAAAGTAAATCAATGCACAAAAGAAACGAATAGGTTTGTTAAGGCCTTGAGGAAAAAAAATCGATTTCAGCTGGGGGAAAAAGTTTTTTTTTTCAATAATTAGATATATCTACCCACCTATAACTAATTGATTTTTACTTAGAACTTTTAAGACATAGTCAGCTTATATATTGTTTAACTAATTGAAAAGAAGCACCAAAGCTGAGAGTTTAAAATCTATTAGAAAAAAAAATGAATTTAATTTAAGCGAAATAATGTAAAAAATTAATCGAAAATCAATTAAACCAAATCAATTATATTAATTGAAGAGCACGACTCAAATTCATAATCAAATTTAAAAAATCAGTTCATAGGGATGTTCATAAAACGTTCATAGGGACAATCAATTTTAAAAAAAAAAATAAAAATCCTGTTTACAAAAAGTCATCCAATATTTTAAATTTTTAATTTATGTCAAAAATTATAATTAAAGTCCTGAAATGTTAATCATAAGAAGGGAGAAATAATTTTTTTTTTCTTTATTTTTAAACAAAGTAACACAATTTTATACCTATATAACATTTGTATATATACATATGTAATGCATATGTATAAGTTACATTTTTTTGCGAACGCAATCAAAATATCTCTAGGTGTTCTCTGTACATACATACGTAGGTATATATATCATTATAATTATGTCTGGTACAAAAAGTTTAAATTTTCGCATTGTATTTAAAAAAAATAAATGTAAAAGTATGTGTAAATGATTTTTAATTTATATTGTATGTAAGTACGTATTTACTACCTACAGATAATATTTTTTATTTCGTTTTTGAAAAATTTGCGAAATATTAAAAATATTAAATAAAAAAATTTATATATATATATATATATATATATATTTCTCTATCAACACATGCATATACCCTGATTTCACTATAATTTGATTAGTATGATTAAATTGACTTACCGTAATATTAGCATGAATATCATATCTTTTTCCATTTTTACTTATAAATCTACAAGTCAATTCATCAACACTGGCATTCAAAATCTGAAAACGTTCATGATTTTTTGTAAATGTTTTTTCAAGTGTTTTTATTTCCATTTTTAAAGTATTTAAGCAAGCCATTATAAAATACTATTTATAATATTAATTTATTACTTTTATTTACTTTATCCGAGACTAATCCAAATTTAATCTACGGAAATGTAAATTTTTTTTTCTTTATTAGGTTTAAGTATGGCGCACAATAATATCTAAATATTTTTTTTTCAACTTCATATAAATCGTAAAAATTTAATTATTTTAGAACTAAACATTCATCTTTTAACTTTGTTTTATAATTTTTTGCATTATTTATTTTTATTCCCGATGTTTTTTTTATTGTCAAATTATTATATATTGTTTTTCAGCTTTCTTTTTTTTTTGTTTTAGAAAAACTTTTACCAACTCAAAAATAATTTGAAGACGGGCAACGGGAACATGAACAACTGATTTCTAGTTACTGTTTTCAGGGTGGTAATTATAAGTTACAGAACATATGGAAAAGAAAGAGATAAATTGATAACTTAGTACTTGTATTCGAACACAAAAAAAAATTAACTTTTTATTTTCTGTCAGTCTTATTTCACTTTATTTAATTTTATATTGCAAATTTTCCTTTTTACAAAAAAGTGAAATCCTGTATTATATTTTTGTTAAATTACCAAAATTTTATTCCAAAAAAAACAAGAATAATTCTTTTTTCACAAAAATATTGGCGATCTCCTCGTAGAATAAACTCATCGAAAAAAAAACTCAAAACAATATGGCGGATTAGGACAATATTTGACATTTCACCAAGGTTCCAAATGACATTTTATAGGTTTTAATAAACGTCAGGGTGAGATGTTATAATTCCATATAAAATAGTTAATAGTCGGTTTATTCAATTTTCAAAAAATAAACGGTACGGGAATATTATGAATATTTTGTAAAAAAGAAAACTTCAAATTTTGAAGATTTTAACAAGCAAAAAAGGGTCTATAAGTTTTTTATTCATTTCACTTCATAAGATTAAAAATTTTTTATTAAACAAACAGATTAACTTTTTAATAAGCAGAAGTTTGTCGCTAAGCATTGCCACATGCGAGCAATAGCTGATATACCGGTTTCAAAACTGGCCTCGAAAACACGGCAGTGAATGAATCAATAAGATGATGGTAAAAATAAGGAAAATGACATTATTCGAAACATTAAGTTTTAAAATTGTTTTATTATTTTTTGGGCAGACTTATCAATATCCCTAACCTAACTTACTCTAGAACTCATCTCAATACGTATAGTATAGAATTACAATACCACATTATTTTGAGTATAAATTTCATGACTAAAAAGTATAATGTACTAGACTATTTTTTTAATAAACATATTTACACCAAAATAATTGTTTCTTCTTTTGCCGTTTCAGATTGCTTTATCTTACTTCTATCCTGTGTGAAGTGAAAGCATTCATCTTTGTCCTCTGTTACCTTGGCAGCTGAAATGAGCATTTCAAAAGCTCCCTCCAATTCCAGTAAATCTAAACTTAAATATACTTCTTGATGAAGACATTCAGCTAAATCTAAAAATAATCTTCCCAAATCGCTGGTTATGTCTTGAAATTTGTCTTCATATACATCTAGTAAAGTGTTAGCAACATTGATCATTACCCTCATGAAACGATGTTCTCCCAAATGTTTTTTTATAAATCTTATAATTATTGCAATAGAATTATTTGTTCTTCCGGCAAGAGCCCGAGCTAAACCTTTTCTATGAATCAATTCTTGCATTACAGAAATAGTAACATGAGGTGTTTTATTTGCTATATATGGGGATAATACTTCATCTAATGCTTTTGTATACTCATATTTACGGAACCAACGATCATATTTTTTTTCTTTCCTCATTTTATAATCGTCAACTATATGATCAGCCGAATCGACTAACGGCAAATTTTTCTTTTTCCCTGCTGAGACATTTTCTGCTTTTTCCATATTTTGTATAGAAATCAATCCATCTACCATTCCAACAGCAAATGTTTGATCATTCGGCGATACTCCAAAGCTTAATATGGAATTTGGGAAATCAAAATTATGAACTATTTTATAACTTGCAACATCAAAAACTTTAACATGACGATCAAGACCACCTGATAAAATTCTTTTCCCATTACTAGCTAATTTTAAGCACGTGATTGTTTTATGGTGGGGTGAAAATTTTGTTAAAAGTTTTCCACCAGCTATAGCATCCCATACTTTGATTTCGGTGCCACCCGCGCTTATAAAAATTCCACCAGTAGGTAAGAATAATAATGATTCTACTGGGCAACCGTGGTCAACTTCAAACGATATTCCATCTGCCCTTGTATCGTACATCTTTACTAAATTATCATATCCACCAGATAGAATTATGTTTGAAGATGTTGGATTAACGCATCCAGCTCTAATATAATCGCTATGATCTTCAAAAGATCTACAGATTTTTTCAGTTCCAATATCCCAAATTTTTACGGTCTTGTCATCTGAAAAACTTGCTAAGTGTAATAAATCTGATGTAAAAAACACTCTGTGTACTGGCGCTCTGTGTCCTCTAAAAAGTCTTAAAACATTCTTGCTCGCAACATCAAACAACTTTACAAAACCTTCTTCATCTCCTGCAACAAGTAAGCGGCCGTCTTTCCGAAAACCTAAAAAAGAAATAAATTAATAAAATTTGTTGAACAGACCTGTAATAATCTTACTTCCTCCATAAGCATTTTTTTGAAATTTAGATAAATTTTTTACAACCAACTTGGTTATAGGATTATAAACTTGTACGCGAACAGAACACGTAGCTGCAAAATAATACGGTTCTACAGGACTGAAATCTATATAATCTATAGCACCAAACTCTTTAACTAAAGTAGGAACCTGAAAATTTATTGAAAAAAATTAATAAAGCTATTACCCTATTTCTTTTTCCAAATTGATATTTTATCTCACACTTAAACGTTTCCAATATGAAAAATCAGAGGTCACGACAGTAGAAGGCTTTCGATAATTTTTTGTGTTTAATGACTTAAAATTAGCCATTTTTTAAATAAAACATATAGGTAGCTATTCAATTCTAAAAAAATATGTTTATTTGTATTTTTCACGTGGTGGACGAAAGTATGTAGTTGACATATTTTGACATATTGACTTGTGGAATTTAAAATCAAAAGAATTAGCGATCTATCAAACTCAATTTGTTTGATTCGCTTTTGAGGCACTGTTTACACAGAAAACGTTACCGTTTAATCAATTAACGGACATTTTCTCCATTTATTCCCACAGATTAATGGCAAGAAAATCCAGAATAAATGAGCTGAATGGTATTTTTTTGATAAGTGTTCGTCAATCATTTTAATTGGCTGAATGATAATTTTGTGGAACTTGACAGTCAACCTAAGTGTCAGTTTTACCATGCACAAAACTGGTTGAGGGTCGCTTTGATTGACCACTTGTTTTTGGCTGGATTCCTACGGAAGCAGCTATTAAAATGAAATGGGTTAAATGATACTTTTGTGAGAAAATCGTTTTGATATAAATGATGTTCTATGGTCCCATTTCAAATTTTTACTTACATACATATATATTTTACGAAAATAATGGATTTTCAAAAGTATATGAGTAATGAGACCCTAAATTATAAATTTTTTCACGGAAATTTGCAAAACAGGAACCCACGAGAGAAAAAAAGAAAGATGCTCTACACTGCGTATCTTTCCAAAATGTACGAAACTAAATTTATCATGTTCGAAGTAATTCAATTTTTGTATGGCTTCATACAAGTTGGATTTATTAGTATAATTTTACTGTCCGTAAACACAGTGACATAAGTATTTCTAGAATTCTAGTTCTAAAATAACAGCTGAGTTTTTGTTCGCACAAAACCACATTTTGGAATTGAAAATATAAACAATAAAGCAAAATTTGAATTGAATTATAAAAATTGGATGTACAAGTATGACTAATAAAATACTACATTTAAGAAACCTACTCACAAACAGGGCTTCGAATATAAAATTAAATTTAACAAATGCTAAAATGCCAGAACGATTCAAAGGTACATATGTTGGTGTAATTTTTTAAATAAAACGGAGAAAACATTATAGTATATTTTTATGCATAATACTACTGATTTTATTTTAAGGTACTATTGTTGAAAAGTGGGTGAATTATTGGAAACAACTAGGTATTGATTACAAAGAAGCCGGCACAAGTTTTTATGAAGAAGCGAAAGCTAAGCCAGTAAAAACTTCTATTTATACTTCCATAGGAATGTTGATATATTTTAGTTCTAAGAAAAATCCTAGTGAGACCGACTTTATAGAAAATTTAAGAAACTATAACAATGATTTAGTATTAGTTCATGAGTCTTGTCATAAACCAGAGTCTTCAAATCATGTAAAATTTATTCAGCGATGTTTTAACGAAGGAATCTTGAGACGATTATCTTTGGGCTTCATATCATTTATGTGGGTAGCAGATTACGACAAAGGTGTATCCGTTTACAAAGGTATACATTAGTTTTTGTTCGTTAAAATTTCAAGCTTTTCTATTTTCAGCAATTTGTCCTCACTTACAACCTGAATACCTTACATTTCATAAACGGATAATTGATGTAGGATTTTGGGGAAAATGGTGGAATTTACAAAATAAAATGGTAGATTATGATGTAAATGTCTAAAAATAGCTAGATTTCAAATTTTGAAAGTATAATTATTAAAACAAAAACATAATTATTACCTAACTAGAGGTATTTAAATAATTTTGATTAAGTTCCGAATACAATTGAATATTGATACAAGAATATCAATGTTCAAGAATTTCACTTGCAGCTTGCATAAAAATAGTCAATTGTAAGTCGTAAGTAAATAAGAATAAAAATTGTTAATTTGCATAATAAAAATCAGTAACAGATAAAGTTTTATATTTTGGGATGGATAACCAAAATTAAATTAATTGCAATTTTTTTAACTTTACTTGGAGGCTATTTTGTTTTAAAAGTCCAACGTTAAAATTAAGAATATTCAAATTTATAGTTTTTACTGCTAAAATTAAAGATAAAAATTTGAGTTGTATGTATGAAAATCTTAAATTTATTTTTAAAAAACCTTGCAACATATTTTTTTTAATCCTTTTAAAGTTATAACATAACACAGAACACTATAAATTTCTTAAGGTCTGCCTGGTATAAGAAAGTTTTTAAAAACTTTATAAAAGTTTTTGCATGCAAAGCGTTTGGGATAATACTTTTTGAACAAAAATGAGGATGTACAAGTATGACTAATAAAATACTACATTTAAGAAACCTACTCACAGACAGGGCTTCGAATATAAAATTAAATTTAACAAATGCTAAAATGCCAGAACGATTCAAAGGTACATATGTTGGTGTAATTTTTTAAATAAAACGGAGAAAACATAGTATATTTTTATGCATAATACTACTGATTTTATTTTAAGGTACACTTTCATTCTCTCAATGTTTAAAGTTTTTCAAAGTAAAATTTAGTGTTTTAAAAACTTTTAAAATCTTACAGCAAAAGGATCAGATCTACAGCAGAAGGATAAAATCTACGTCAGAAGGCTTTATTTTTGCAAAAATTTTTTATCAAGAATAATTTTTTTTTTTTTAACTTTTCAATTAAAAATAAAATAACCAAAATGGGTTCATAAATGATTTTCTAAATTTCACACGTTTATAATCCAAATTCAAAGCTTTCGGTTTTTAGTATAGCCAAAAAATATTTTTTTATGTTTGATAAATACTTTGAAATTTGACGGTTTGCCGTACTGATATTTGATGGTGATTTCGATACCGTTAACCCAACTCCATCCATTGGGATTTAAGCAATGAGCATTCAAAAAAAATTAATTTGGCCTGGAATAATTCCCGTCGACCTGCTAATCCCTATTTTCAATGCATCCTTATTTTTTTAATTTTCAACTATTTGTCATTTAACCTAAGTGATAACGAATGATAATTTTTAGTCATACTTATGTCAATGTTATACGAAATATTTAGCTGTTTTTAAAATAATATTATTTTGTAACTTTTCTTTTGGTAAAATATATATATGAAAGAACTAGAAGTAATAATAAAATAATTAAAGTACCGAAGATAACAATTTATATGTAAAATATTTAATATAACCTTGCTTTGAACCAAAATACATACATACATATATGATCACCTTATTTTTCATCTTATATTTTTTCTGAATTATTTCATGAAATTGAAATTTTTAACATGTGCGTTTCTCAGAAAAGCCCAATTAATATATACAGTTTTTGTTATAGAAAACTGGAACTGAGAAAAAGCATAATCAGGATTTTTTAAAAATTAGTATGAATGCATTCTGCTCGTTTCATAATGTAAAAATTTACAATATTTGTTACTTCAAAAAAGCTACAAAATATTCTAATGCGAATTTTTATTCATACAGCAAAACAAGGTAGTTTGAATAAAAATTAGCATTAGAATTTATTCGCTGAATTAATATTTTAAATCTATTACTAGAATTAAATTAAAGTCTATAAGAGTAAATTAGAATATTTTCTCTGGGAAATTAGTGGAAACAATATGATATCGCACTGTGCACAACCCTTGTTCTGGATTGTTTTTATTATCATGGTCAGATGATTAACAAAAATATCGCGCAGAAAACATCAAAAGTCAAAAAGTATGACTGTTTACCACAATCAATCGTCAAAATTTGCAAACAAAGAAAAATAAACGAAATTTGAAGTTATTACGACATTAAAGAAAAATTATATTTTCTACTTAATAAATTTTTAGAAATAAATTTAAAAGCATTTTTTTTACCTAAATTAAGTCCTAAGTATTGTTAAAGGCTTAATAAATATTATTTGTACTAACTCTTATTGTTCCAGGTATACATATATACAATATTTCATCAAAGAAAGCTGAAGGTCCTTGGTAGGTGGTGGGTGATTAAATGAAAGTGTTTTTTTTTGTAAGTTTATTTGTTTAAAAATTTTCTAAACAATTAAATTTAATATTTTAATAGGAAATTCTAAAATACAAAGCGTTATAAATGACCTTGGAACTTGGGTGATAAATTTTAGAACCAAGTCACTTCATTATGAATTTTCCATAATATATATTAGTGTTCATGAAACTTTTAAAAAATTAAATGTGCAGCACATTTTTCATTATTCATTGATTGACAATAAAAATTGAGATTATACGAATAAAAAGGAATACCTGCATTTTACAATAAAATGGGGCAACAGGATGAATTTAAATACGATTCAATCAAGAACGATGTCAATCCCTTCACTACATTTAAAGAGGAACATGATTTTGAGGACTATAAAAATGAGGATTCACCTATGATTCATGTTGTTCCGGATTCAAACAAACTAAGATGGAATCATATAGAAGATTTGGATTCGTTTTTTACAAGAATGTATTCTTATCATCAAAAGCATGGATTTTTAGTAATAATATTAGATGAAATATTACAGCAAATATCATTCGTTTTTGTTGTATGGATAGCTGTTTTTACTACACATTGCATAAACTATCCAGTTTTGTTTGGCGATGATTCTAAAAATTCAACAAAAGTATATTTAAGTGATGTATTCGTTTCATTCGATCAATGTGTTACTAATTTCAGCAGTTTTACAATATTTTGTTTAATATTGGCTTCAATATTTTTTATATTTAGATTTGTAAAAATTTTATATCATGCAAGTCAATATTGGGATATAAAAAAATTTTACAATACAGCATTAAAAATTGAAGATAACGAACTTGATAATCTGACATGGCATGAAGTACAAAAAAAAATACGGGAAGTTCAATCTGAGCAACAAATGTGCATACATAAAGATAATTTAACCGAGTTAGATATTTATCATAGAATTCTACGTTTTAAAAATTATATGGTAGCTTTAATGAATAAAAATTTATTACCCACAAGATATTCTTTGCCAATATTTGGTGAAATGGTATCACTAACTCGGGGGCTTCTCTATAATATTGAATTAATTTTATTTCGTGGACCTTGGTCCCTTTTTGAGAACAACTGGCAACTAAGAGGTGATTTAGCAGTTAGAAGCAATCGGTTGGAATTCTCCAAAAAATTGTCAACTCAAATTGTTTGGCTAGCAATTGCAAATTTTTTATTATCACCTTTTATATTTTTATGGCAGCTTACATATATTTCCTTTAATTATGCAACAATACTTAAAAGAGAACCCGGATCTTTAGGTGCTAGAACTTGGTCAAATTATGGTAGATTATGTTTGCGACATTTTAATGAATTAGATCATGAATTAGATGCACGTCTAAATCGTGCATATGAACCAGCCGAAAAGTATATGAGTTCGTTTTCGTCTCCCTTAGTTACAGTTTTCGCAAAACATCTGCTTTTTATATGCGGTGGATTATTAGTAGTAATAGTTGCACTTGGTGTTTATGAAGAACATGTTTTTCAAGTGGAACATGTCTTGACAATCGTGACTATTTTGTCCGGCATTGGTGTAATATGCAGAATTTCTTTGCCAGATGAAAATTTGGTTTGGTGCCCAGAACAACTATTAACGGCAGTCTTGGCGCATGTTCATTATTTACCAACTAGTTGGAAAAATTTAGCACATACAACATTAGTAAGGAAAGAGTTCGAAAACTTTTTTCAGTTCAAAGCAGTATATTTGCTAAATGAAATTTTCAGTCCTATAACAACTCCATTTATTTTATTATTTATATTTCGTCCTAGAGCTTTGGATATTGTTGATTTCTTTCGAAGTTTCACAGTTTCTGTTGTCGGTGTGGGAAATGTTTGTTCGTTTGCACAAATGGATGTAAGAAAACATGGAAATCCTGAGTGGCAACTAGCAACTTCTTCTGAATGTAATATCTCTAATGAGAATCCTATTGATGTTAACAATGATCAACAAGCAGACACTCTTAACCGAGGAGAAAATGGAAAAACCGAGTTATCTTTAGTTCACTTTACACTAACAAATCCAGAATGGAGGATGCCCCCTGAATCCAAGCAATTTATGATGAACATAAAACAACAAGCTTTGTTAGATCTTAAAGGATTAGAAATAGAACCTAAGAATAAGTCTACCGCTATGGACGTGAGTTTAATGTCATTTGGAAGCATTGGAGAAAAATATTCTTCGATTGCTAATTCTGTTTTTCAACATAAAAATTTGTCTATCAACGGCTTAGCTGATTCTATTATGCTTCAAAAACAACCGCTATCTTCCATAGATACTGCTACACCAAGTACTTCATTCCCCTTCCGGCAACAACAGGTGTCTGGTCGCGGAGTTGGTGGTGATTTCGAAAAAATGCTCCACCAAAATCTTTCTGATGGTACTTCTTTGCTTCGTCCTTTGGAAAGTATTGAAGAATCACAAATATATGATGAATATGGTCACGATGATAAAAATCAACATCATTATGAAAAGGTTAAAAGTAAAAAAGTTAGAAAAGGTGTTACACATAACGAAGGTAGCGCTGATGGTTCAAAGGAAGGTTTGTTGTACAGTTTGTACACTTTTCACCCAGAATTATCAATTCGTACGGACTTAACCACAGCTGATATGTGTTTAAGCACCTTATATTTACACGAATTGCACCATAGACAAATGCAAAGAAAATGTGAACGTTTGGCTCAACATCAAAGTGCTTTGTGGCAAAAATCTCAAATAGTCTCTAAAAGTAATATTATTAACGAAAAAACGCGAGACAGTCCAAATTCAGCTGCCGCTCAAACCGAAAAAACGCCTTTATTGTTGATGAAAAAATCGTAGTGCAAATTTTAAAAAATTCTTATCATTAAAAAGTCTAACAAAATAACAGAAATAAGTAAAAAATACACAATAGGAACATGCAATGGATGCATGTTAGCATTAAAGTGTAAATATAAAAGAGTAAATGTAATTATTGTAAATACTGTTTCTCTAGTCTATAGAAAATATAATTTTAATACGAAAATAAGACAAAGATATAATTTTATATTTCAAAATATTAAATGACTTTAATAGTTACATATTAACGCTTAATTATTAAAAAGATTTTAATTTTTAAATTAATTAAAACATAACTTTTGAAACAAAATAAAAAATACTTAGTGTAGAAATATTAAATAGTAGCCTGGATATATTGTAAAATTTTAAATTACATATTATGTTAATCTGAGGTTCAAAAGTTTTAATACCCTAAATTAAAATTTCCGAAAAAGTTTTGAAATAGAAAAAAATTTAAGTATTTTGTAATATTTTTTCATAATAAAAAACTGCTTGTTCTTTAAGAATAAAATTGCTTTATCATAATTTATGTGTTGTTTTTGTTTCAAATGATAGACCAGGACTGTTCTTTTTTTTTTAAGAAGTTAAACGCCTAATTGTTAAAGAAAAATTCATATTTCTGTTGTTTCTTAGTTTGCTTATTTTTATTTTTAAAAAAAATATAATTAAAATTTTGCTAATTTTTTGTATCCTCTTTCATCATCTGATCAATTAGACGCTTACGTTCTTCAGCTTGTCTCATTTGTCGCAGTACAAGACTTTCAAAATCTAAATCTGAAATTGTAGAACTAGCTTGTGCGCGGTTTTTTTTTGGAGGTTCTCCTATCCATTCTAAGTGTAATGGATTTAATAGATTACCTTTTTCGTAAGCTACAGCCATTTCTCCAGCATCCTGTGTTTTAAATTCTATTAAAGCACTACTGTTTTTGCTTGACACTACAATAGCAACGATATCACCGTACTTTTTAAAATAATTTTTTAATACTTCTTCAGTATAATTTAATTTAGGATCTGCATTTACTTTCCATTTAATTTTTATCTTATGTTGCGAAGAATTATATTCTGAAATTGATAAATTATGTGATTAAAAATATAATTATCAAATTTTTTCAACTTACGATTTTCTAATTTAATTTTTTCCGCTGACAATTGCTTTTTCATTAATTCCTGTTCTTCTTGTAGCAAGAGAGAGCCCTCTTTTCGTAATCGTTCGATTTCAGCCTGCAATATTTCCTCATCTGTCTTTGGCGTGCTATATCCATGTGCTTTATAAGGATTAAGTGAACAATTACGTTCTCTTTCTTCTAAATCTGCTTTCAGTTTTTGTCGTTTGCTATCTAATTTCTGATTTCTTATTTTTGCCGCTTTTTTTGCATTAAGTATTTTATCATAAGCAGATTTAGCCGATTTATCGGTTAGGATTTCAAGAATTTTCGATAATTCTTGAAAGAGTTCAGCGGCTTTAGGATTATCAGGGTTTTTATCTGGATGACAATCTAATGCCTTCTTCCTGTAAGCTTTTCGAATTTCTGATTCCGTGGCGTCATGTTGTACGCCAAGCAATTCATACAAATCTTTTTCACAATACTTTTTTATGTCTACCATTATTTAACTATTACAAAATATCCTTTTCCAACTTTTAATATTTTTCCATCAAAATCGTTAAATGAACGTTTTGTGGGAATAAATAAAAAACATAAGTTTGACGTTTGGTGTTTTACATCAACCAGATGATGTTGATGTAGATACATAGGCATATGTAGGTGTATCAATCTGCTGTATAATGTTGTCAAAATAATTTAATTCATATTATGTATTTGCTTTTTCTTTTTTATTAGAGGAATTAAAAATACGCACAATTATCCTTATGATTAATATAATTATAAAAAATATTACACAAATTCTTTTCAAAATATAACATTAGGACCAAAACAGAATCGAACAAGCCATTAACAAACAAGCAACAGCCACATAAGGGGACTTTCGTTCACCAATTCTCGCTAATTTCCAAAAAATTCCTAACATTCTAAAAGTTATAACAAAACATATAAAAAATTTCTTTTTTAAAATGTGTGTAAAGTACAAATTTACCCGGTTTTGTTTCTATCCATTATACTGGGGAACAACGACCTTAAATAAGCACAAGTACATATCAGAAGCAAAATTACAGAAAGTAAACTTTGAAAATTAAATAGAGCACTCTAAAATAAAATTATAATAATAGTGCTTAAATTTTGAAAATAAAAAATCAATAATATATGTTATTTACCATTTTATTCAACAATTAAATTTATGCTACGGGAATGTAAACACTAGGAAGCTTGATTTTGACGTTAACTTGAATCGTGAAATCATTATGTTAAAAACTTGATATGACAAAAATATCACAAAAAATTGCTGTCAGTCGTGGGTTGGGTAGAAAACAAAATATGTATAAGTTGCAGTGTTGGGATATTTGCATTTTCATTCCCTAAACAGAATGAGACAACATCAGTGTTAATACTTTATTTTGAAATTTGAAGATAATTAAAATATGTTCTATTTGAAAACAAAATGTAAATTAAAAAAAAAAATTCTATAACATGACTTCATTTTTGATATAACACATTTAAAAAAAAAAAAAACAAAAAACAATATCAAAAATTAAAGTTTTTTAAAAAAAAGTGAGGAATTATAAGAACTTCGCCTGGAATTTATGTATATATCAACAAACTTAGGTACTTATAATTTTGTAGTTGTATAAATAAATAAAATTAAAAAATTGTGTTCAATTCAATTGAACACAATGAAACCGCAAAATGCAAACTCAAATTCAGTTTATGTATTTTCTATTCAGTTGCATCTTGTCATATTTTACTGATTTTGGCAATATAATTTTCTATTTTCTATTTTAATATGTCATTGTATGTTGTTACTGTAGCCTTATACCTTAAACGCAATGGGTATAAAGCTGCATTTAAAAACTGCCCAAATATTAGCTTCAACGCTTTATAAAACACATTGTATTTAGGACATTAACGCCAAATTTGACATCTTGATTTCATTTTTGCATTAAGCTTTTTACAAATTACGCCGAGTGCATTTTTAGCATAATAGACCTCACAATAATTTTACTTTTAACAACGATCTTTTATGACGTGATAAATTGTTAAACAAAAAGGGAAGAATCCAATAACACTGTAATGTAAAAGTTTTAAATATCTGGACACTGAAATGTTAAAAGAAAGTAGCTTCAGAATTAGTAAATAAAAGCATTTTTTAATTTCGCTTTGAAATTGCAAACTCGTTCTATGCATATTTTTCCGCGCTAAAATGTTTTTATCGTATGTTATGTAATTTCTTTTTATATGAATATCCGTATATTTAATTTTTGCTAATATCACAAATTTTTCAATTTAAATTTACCACGGCTGACAGAAATGATTTTTTTGTAATGCCAAGAAATTTACACACAGTTTAAATTTTAGAAGTGAATAAATAGCATTGCATACTACCTTTGTTAACAGAATTCAATAAACAGTAAGCGGCAAAAGTGAAGTGATTGAAACCATATGTTATTTTAATGTCAAATGATTTTCCTTTTGCAACTAGAAGAAAAAATGACATCATTCAATTTTCAAATCAAACCGGGGAATAAAAATAAATTGCTTTAAAAATACAGTGGTGCATATTTCATTTAATTTCATGTGAATTTTTGTTTTAAATTTTTTAAAAGTTAGTATTTTATTCATTTAAAGGTATAAAATATTTAACAAATTGAAATATGAAGAATGTATATCTTAATTATATTTAAAAAGTAAAGATTTCGTCAAGCAGGTACCAAAATATTGTATACTTACTATGCAATATTAGTTTTTTGAAATTGTACATATTTGGATTTTCATTTTAAATACATGCTACATATGTTTTAAACCCCTCCTTTAGATTTATTTCGATAATATGTATTGCGTACTAACTAAAAATTTATAGCCAAAAAAGGAATTTAGTAACAAAAGTAATAAATGGCATTTGGTTAAAAAAATTTAAATGTATGTATGCACATATTAGTATAATACATATGTATTATAAATAGAAATAAAAATAATATAGGATTCTATAATATTAGAAAAATAGAATATATATATATGTATGTAGGTAAAAATTCATACTATATTACATTATTTTGTATGTACATTCAATAAAATTTGGTGAAAGCATAAAATTCTTTCGTGTTATCTATTTTAGTAAACAAACAAAACAAAAATAGCTGCAAATTGAGATAATAATAGACTTGCTAGAAAAATTATAATTAATATTTTAGTTTATATTTTAGTCTATTTTCCGAAGTATTTCAAGGATCATTAGAAGTTCAATCAAAACCCAATTTGATTTGTCAATGTTTTTTTTTCGAATTGTAAAAATAAATATTTACCTACATACATACATACATGACATGGAATGGGGTGTATTTTTTTTTTCACACATTCCTTCATGTACAGTAAGCTCGTTTAACGTACAGTTATTATTGAAGAAGAATAATGAAGTTCTATGTACATATGTACATATACATAGGCACTTAATAATTTTTAAAAATAAATGCATATAAAAAATTTAAAATAAAATAATTTTTAAAATATAAAAGCTGAGGATGAACAATTTTCTCCTTATTGCAATCATGTATTACTTCACTTGCATACATATATATACATGTACCTATTCGCCTAGTATCCACGTACCCAGTTTTACTTTAACGGTATTAGTCATAGTTTTTTACACATTATAATATTGTACGAGTGTAGTACAAACATATGTATTTTTTCAAACTGCATGTTTTTTTAAAAATTGCATTTAGGTAATATTTAGGTAATACTTTAGATAATTTATCAGTTGCCTATTCGAATTAGGTATATTTAACTACATACCTACGTCTAGTAAATAAAATGGAAACGAAACATCCTACGACTTCTGTTTTAAAAAGAAAAATATATACATGTACCCAACATATGTATTATATTATGTATAATAAATATGTATGTATATACAAAAATATTTATTAATGTATTAATATTAATATTATGGGAGCTAACAACTTTTTTGAATTTCGATTTTTTGAAAAATCTTTCCTAAATATCTACCTATTATAAAAACATTTCTAAATAGGTACATACATATCTATCTACCCATTTACTAAGAAAGAAAACAGAAATTTTGTGCCACAATGAATTTTACCGAGGAATTCACTTTTTTCGAAAGAATTTTTAACTATCTATCCCCATCCTCAAAATCCTATATTCTCAAATTAAATACATAAGTGCATATATATATATATATATATATTTTTTTTCAGAAAGGAAGTCATATACGTTTTGTTTCCCACATAATTAGCAATTATTTTAAACCATTTTTTCTTAAATTTTAAAAATTATTTTTCTCTTAATTGAAACAACAGTAAATTGTAATATGTGCGGAATCAGTAAAATTCCGCACATTTTTAAAATAGAAATTTTAACTTAATAAATTTTTAAAATAGAATAAAACACCCACGGAAAGTTTATCTAATACCTTTTACGTAATATATGTAAGTATGTAATTGCATTACATATTTAGGTATACCTAAATATCAATAGAACTTTAATTTTGTTTTTGATTTCTATAAGTTTATTTTAGAAATCATATATCTTTTTATATTTTTAAAAGAAAAATTACAATTAATTTTTTTAGGCAATAAACTTCTATTTGAGTCACATATTATTTCAACATACAAATAGAATATATAGTTGTTAATATAAATTTAAATTTTCAGGAAATAGAACTTTCCTTAATATTTAAACTTTCTGAAATTTAAAATTCTTTTAAAAACTTCGTCTATATTTTGGTTTTTTATGATATAAAAAATCAAATTCCTGTTGTTAATAAATTCTGTGGTTTCTCTGGTCTAATTACATATTCGCTACATTTTACTTATTTGAGTTATTATTTATTTTTTTATTTCGTTAAAAAAAAAGAAAACATTAAACTAGATCCAAAAGACTTGCTTTAAAAAATTTGCTTACACATATGCTTAAATAATGGAAAATATTTTCTAAATTTCAGTTTTTAAGAATTTTAAAATAAAAATAATTTTTATAAAAGAGTGATAACGGTTCGAATATATTTGTTTCAGTTATTTTAAAACTTGTTTCTTCCATCAAACTAAAAAATGGCTAATCAACAATATTCAATGCACAACATCAACCAAGGTGGGTATGTACCTCCTGGATATCCACCTGTTATCTCTCAGCAACCCAATTCACAACAATACGTAAGCTTTCATTATAAAAAAAGATATTATTTTTGTTTAAGAATTCCATTTTTAGGGATTTCAACCGCCTGCAGATCATACTTATCCACCGCCAACGCATGGTCCATATGTGGGACCTCAACATCCGTATGCTCCTGTGCCTACTGATCAGGGTCAGTATGCACCTCAAATGCCTTATTCAGGGAATCAACCAGCTCCCTTTGGTTCCGGTGGATATCAACCACCACAAGGAGGTTATGCTGGTGGTGCTCCAGGTAAAAGTTTAAGGGTAGTGATACAAATTTTGACAATTACCCAAATTTCATATATCTTAACAAGGTGATTGGATGACTATGCCTGTTGGTATACCCAACTGTCCTCCGGGTTTGGAATATCTCACGACAATTGATCAACTTTTGGTTAAACAAAAGGTAGAATTACTTGAAGCATTTACGGGATTTGAAACAAATAACAAGTATGTAATAAATTTGCATAAATAGATAAATTCATAACTAAAAGTAAAACGTTTTTAGGTTTAGCATTAAAAACAGTTTAGGTCAGAAAGTTTACTATGCTGTTGAAGATACTGATTGTTGTACTAGAAATTGTTGCGGACCATTACGTCCTTTTGATATGAAAGTTTTAGATAATTATCAAAATGAAGTGATTCATTTATATCGTAAATTGGCATGTAATTCATGTTGCTTCCCATGTTGTCTGCAACATATGGAAGTGTCATCTCCTCCAGGAACTGTTGTTGGAACAGTAGAGCAAGAGTGGAGCATTTGTAGCCCTCAATTTAGTATTAAAAATCATGTCGGAGACACAGTTTTAAGAATTGAAGGGCCAGTTTGTACTTTCAGTTTATGTGGTGATGTTGAGTTTAAGGTTAAATTTCTTTCAAAAAACGTTATAATTATATTAAAATTCTTTCAATTTACATTTAAACTTTCATTTGGTTTTTTTATTCACAAGGTTGTTACTATGAGTGGCACACAAGTTGGTAAAATTTCGAAACAATGGTCTGGCTTTGCTCGAGAAATATTTACAGATGCCGATTTCTTTGGAATAACTTTCCCAATGGACTTAGATGTTCGAATGAAAGCAACTTTATTGGGTGCATGCTTTTTAATTGTACGTTAAAAGAAGTTTTTTTACTAAAAAGATTACGCTTATTTTCAATTATTTAAACATTTTTTTAGGATGCTATGTTTTTCGAGAAATCTGGTAATAAAGAAAGCGATAGGCCTGGTATGTTTTAGATCAAATTCCTCGTTATGGAAAAAAAAACAAACGCACATTTTAAATATATTACAATTTTATTTAGAATTATTATTTAGTTTTTATTGTTGCTATAATAAATATTGGAAAATTTTTTTTTACTTAACTTCGAATGTGTGATAGAGTTTAAGAGTTTAAAATGTATTAAATATTTGCTTTTATAATTTTATAGCTTTTCAATTCAGAGATACATATGTAGTTTAATGTATATTTTAATTTATGTGACTGAAATCATATATGTACATACTTGATATATAATCACATGTTTATTTTGTTTTAAGAACATTTAATTCATTGATCGTAAGTGTTTTTGAAATTAAATATATACATATTTAAAATTTCATGATGATATAAAAATTAAAATTAATTCATTTCGAAAATGTATCGAATTGCTAATTATTTGATTAAATTTTATAGCTAGAAACAAAAAGTAAAATCAAATTTTGCATAATTTTCAAAGCATTTTATGCGCTTTTAATTAGCAATTGAAATAATTATGTATTGAATCTGGTCACTTTCCAAGAACGTCATATAATATTTTTTACTAATAAACATTTAAATGTTTTTAAAACACATTTTAGATTGAAAATATTATATTTTAAATTTATTTTTAATATTATATTATATAAATATTTTTATAATAAATTTATTAATTCTAGATTTGTTTTAAGCATGATATGGAGAAAACTTTGATTTTTTTTTTAATAATTCGTATATTTTTTATGGTTTTTTTTATATTTTTTTTTTTAATAGAAGGTAAATATATTTAAAAAAGAATCATAATTTTTCAGGTCTTTTCGATGTTTGAATTCCGCATTATCCAACCTTATAATATACTTGTAAAAAATTCGTAAATAAATATTAGAAATAAGGTTTTGTACGCCAAAATAGTAGAACTTACCTGAAAGTTAAAATGATATTGTTTTGAAAAAGTTGATATTACATATGTATATAAAGTAAAGAAAACGCGTAGAACAGATTTGTAAAAAATTAAATTGCTAAAATTTAAAATAATTCATCTTCATTTATTTCTATTAATATTAAAGTTGCTATTCTCATCTTGATTGATTTGAGATCTTTACATCTAAACATACATAATATTATGTAAATATTATTATTTTAAATTTTTTTTTTAATAAATGTTAAAAACATTTTGAAGACAAAGAAATAATTTATTTGTTATACAGTGTATATTTTAATACAAACTAATTTTTTTTAATATAAAATATGCCAGGTTACCTAGACTTACTTCTACTAATGAAAAAAGAAATAATGAGTTTATTGCAAGAAGAGGAGGAAAGTGAAGAAATTTTACAATAATTTTTAATAAAATTTTTTAAACGAAATTTTTTTAGCATTTTATGGATTAATAGGTATATTAAAAATGAAATTGAACTACAATATGTTTTAAAATAAAATTGTACATTAAATTGAAATATACGCTAAAACTTGTAAATGAAAAAACATGTTTTTGTGTTTCAAAAAGCATTACTACTATTATTTACTAATTACTACTAATTGTGCTTGATAAATTCCAATATTTAACCTAATGAAAGCGAATATAAAGAAAATCACGTAATTTTTCTTAATAATCCAATTTCACATAATTTTTGTAAGAAACATTAAATCTTAAAGCACAGATGATAAGCTAATCAATAATTTTAAAATTGTCAGATAACTTCGATAAACATAAATATTTTCTTTTAAAATATTGAACTTACTTTAATTTCGTTATCACAATATAAATACAACAACCGTATCGTGCAGTAATTGAGTTTTTATACAATAAAAAATAAATTGCAATAATAAGAAAAATTATCATTAATAAAGGGAATTTTTCATGAAATAACCCAAAAAATCAGTCTGCATCCTTTATTTTTTTATTTAAGATTCAAAACAAGTTTATTTACATCCAAGTCTTATTGCTTTGAACTTGTTATCATTTGCTTATCTAATTAATTAAATAAAAGTGTGTAAAGTTTACGAGAATTATATCATGATAAGATTTTTTATTTAAAAATTTAATTTAAACGAATTGCAAATAATATGATTATTTAAATTATTATTTTAACTTCTTAAGAGTTTTGTTAAAGACCATTCTTTCTTTGCCTGATTGCTTTTTAAATATGTCAAAGCAAGTTAAACGTAATAAAGTAACAAAAGATAAATTTATTTCAGTAGAAACAAAAAACTATCAAGACTTTTTTAAAAATATATGGTGTTACTTAAGTGAAAAATTTCATAATAGATTTAATACTGAAAATAATAATACTTTTACAATAAATCAACAAAATAATTGGCAAAAAACACTTCGAAAGAGTTTGCGGTTAAACAAATCTCCAAAGAGAAAAGGATATCTTACTCTTTTAACAGATGAAGAAAAAAGGTAATTTCATAATTACATACATACATAATTATACCGTTTAATTATAATAAGTACTTAAATATAAAGTGTGGGCCGCTTCTGGTATAAACCCATACGATTATTTTCCTGAAAAACTTTAAAGAACCATCCGGGCGGCTTACCACCAGAACTAAGCCACCCTGTATATTCATATAACTCTGAAAACAGAACCAAAACGGTGAGCTGCAGCGGCGGGGGATTTGCGTTGATAACCCAGAACAAGAGTGGAAGACCAAAATCAATTAGACTGTATTTTGAATATGTTGTTATACATATGTACATCGAAATAGATGATGTCAAAAAAAAATATTAATTTAAAGCACTTCACCGTCGGCGGTGATTTCGCTTGATTCTGGTCAGTCCCATTTAAATATGTATATTCTATATGAATTTTGACATTTCGCCGCGAAAAAGCGCTCTCGTTCTGTTTTCAACTTATGTATGTGAGACCAAAAAGCTGTAATAATAGTAATATAATTTAATTATAAAAGTACATTCTTACATAGATACACATATCTTTCTAGGTTTTTGGAAGAATTCAAGTTGAACACGTACAATAACAATATAACACAAAGAATATGTGCACCTGAACCCGTTTTCTATTAGGATGAACAACTAAAAAGTATATGAATTCGAAATATTACGTATTTTATTTAAAGTAACATGACAAAATACATCCGTATGTATATTATTAAGGTGTTAACGTGGTTAAGGTGGGAAATGTGGAAGACATTAGATAAGACTAAGGAGTACATCCCATAATTAAATAAGGGATTATTATTTATACAAGATTTTATAAAATGAATAATATTAATACTACATACATATGAGATTTGATCATTACATACATACATGTAGAGCTAGATTTTTAATAGTTTAACTTCAGATAAAAATTATTATTTTCAGGATTTAATAAAATTAGCAATACAATTTCAAATTAAAACAATTTTTTATTTCTTTTCTTTTTATATTATTTGATAAATTGATAATTTAAATTATTTGATAAATGTTATGAATTCAAATATGTTTTAACATTCATTCAAAATTTGTTTTCTTCGTCAGAATTAATAGTGTTATATTTTTTTGGTGGACTTTAGTTGTTTAAAAGAGAAAGCCAGATATAATTCAGTTATTTTTTTTCTGTGGCGGCAGCACTGCGTATTTTCAGAAATACAATATATCTATGTACATGTAAAATTTGTTTTTTTCATAATTTATGCATAAACATATTGAAATAACCAATACATCATTTCTGTCAGCCGTGATATACGTATATCACAAAACACTTTCTCCTGTACGAAAAACTCAAGATTCGACGCTTATCAACGTTAAGTTCCAAGACATTAATTTGACATAATATTCCAAAACTGTCCAAATAACCTTGTAACGCCAATCAATTATTGTTTGTAACAGCAATCTGACGTTTAAAATCTAGTGTGAAAGCGGCAGCTTAATTGCACGTAAAAAAACTTGGTGGCTAGGTGTATAAAATAATACTCATGCAACGTCTATATAGACAACTATTTGTATTCTATATTACTTACATACTTATATTTACGTAAACAGTATATACTTTGTCCTTTTTATTTTAGATTTTTAGTTAAGTATTGTTGAATGATAATCAGGTAAATTGTAATTTTAATAAACAAAATAATAATAGCTGAAATTCTGTCCATCAGTTAAAATTAATGTATTCTGTTTGTTTATTTTTAATTAAAAATTTACATATGTATACAAATAAAACAAAATTAGATGCAATAAATTTAATTTTTTTTTAAATTTATATTTTTATAAAATATAAAGTAATTAAGTATCTACCTTTCAAGGAAATATAATGAAATTTTAATTTTTTATTTAGCCTTTTACAATTTTTGTAGCGAAAGCAAAGTATTGGGCCATGTGATTATCGCAACATAAACAAAAAATAAAAAAAAGGAGCAATGTCATTTCTATGAAAATACGTACATACATAAATAATATAGTACATGCTTACAACAAATAGTATTTAAAATACCAAGGTCTGAAGTTTTTGTTATTTCAAGATTAGACATGCCACATGGTTTAACGACGCAGCATTGTAAAATACAAAAAGCAATAGTACTGAATTTAAAAGATATAATCAATCACAAGTAAATATGAATACTGAAGATGAATATAGTACAACAAAAAGGAGGGGGGTTAAGGTAACAAAATCAAAAATGTATATAATTATATTTCTTACTTTTTAAAAATTTTCAGCTAAACCCAAAAACAATCCACAAGTATACATCCGAAAAAATTTCAAAACTCAATGATAGTGGAATACATAGATGTTTTTACCACTATTTGGTTCCTGGTCTGAACAAGTCAATGAACAATGTTGAATTGCAAAATTTGCAAATAACACCGAATATTCAATGTTTATTTCCAAGAAACCTATATGTATCTCCAAACATAGGTGATAGCATTGAACTCTGCTTCCGTAGAGTAATTATGTACCATCAATTCGCTTATAAAATACGCTACAACGCATCAGTATATGAAAGATACTTAAGTAATTAATACTCAAATCAAAGCTTCTATACTGCTCTAGTACAGGAGCATTGTCTTAAAAAATAATCTAATGTAAAAAGAGTTATTGATTAAAAAAGTAATTGTTTTAGAAAAGAAGGAATATCGAAAAGCTATGAAAAACGATACGTATCCTACAGCTGTAACACGTTGTGCGAGTTTAATAGCAGCTTATCCTTATCCATTTTTTAGTGGAGAATACGACTGGTACTTCACTGGAGGAAATTTAGCATGTACAACTGATTTCCTTCTATCTTCAAGAGGATTAAATATGAATATATTAAGTAATCATAATGCAAGTTTAAAGAAACGTAACTAATTTTTTCTATCTTTTTTAGACCTGTCCGTAGTGAAATCAAAGCGTCTTAAAGATGTGGCAAATATAGAATATGAGTCTAATGATGTAAATGCACCTACTTCGGAAATATTAGAAGTTCAAGCGTCAAATGGGATTAAGAACAGATTTTTTGTGAGGTGCGAAAAAAACATTACGAAATATTTTTATGATGAATCTGAAGCAACATGTGTATTCAATATTGAAAGAGCATCCGTTCCATTTATAACATTTAGCGAGGATCCTTTAAACGAAAATGTTATTATAACTGGTGATTTGAATAGGCAAGTCTTTTTATGGGATGTTAGTAGATCTTTAAAAAAACCAATTTCAAAATTACTCTCGCAGAGGAATGAAATCCTAGAACGTCCTGATAATTGGAACTGCATTCGTTATTTTAAAATAAATTCTTTTATTTATACCGATTTTGAAAAATTTTCATTGATCGATAAACAAATTGAGTCTTTTGTTGATGATATTGATTTCCCAGTAATAAAAGATGAAATAGGAACTTGTGAAAAAATTTGTTCTTTAGCTGTTAGTAACAGATTTAGTAACCTCATTTATATCGGGACAACACACAAAGTGTATGCGGTTGATGTTAGATATTTGAAAAAGAAACGTGGATCTTTAATATTACTTAAATGGACGCATCAGATGAAGTACCCTCCGTTGATTTTGAAAGTACACAATTGCTTCGAGTCGGAACTAATTGCAGCATCTAGTCCATTATATGGCGAAATTCGAATTTTCGAAGTAAAAAAAAGTTTAAATGAATATTCAAAAAAGGTGTATACATCTCCTTATTTGCCAGTTAGTCCTCCAGATTTTCAAAATTCTTATTATTTTTCTAAGTTGCAAGGTGAATGCTTAGATCCTTCAGTAGATTTTGAATCTAGAATTAAAAAATGTACTACCGGATTAGAGTTTTTTGAAAAAAATAATAAAGTACAATTACTGATATCAAATAGTTTAGGTAATGTGTACAAATATAATATAATAGTGGAACAAGAAAAAAATAAAACTAACAACCTTTTAAATATTTTCAAAATTTACCTTATTTTAGGGGATGTCTTTTCGTCAAGATTAATCAATGAAGAAATGGAAGAATCAAAAGCTTTTCACACGGATATTATTAAAAATTATTATGAAAAAGTGCAAAAAATTACTCGAGAAAATTTAAAGGAATTATATGTTACAGATATAAAAGATATGACTAACATCTCAAAAATATTGAGATCTACTAGACTGGATCCTGGTGATAATTATAAATTGCAGAATAAGATTTCTAATAAATTTGAAATTGATTATGAAAATGATCCAGAAAAATTAATTGAAATTTTCCCAGAGAAGAAAAGGAAATTGTCAAAATGGGAAAAGACACCAACCCAATATGCAGAGTGTAAGGACGTTTTAGCTGCCAGTATATTAAAAATTTGGGATTTTGATATTGATAAAATGGAATTAGATGTTAAAAAATCAAGTACTTTTAAAGAAGAGCAATTGATTAGGGTTAAAGACTGGGTAGAAAACATACAAAAGGTCTACTATAAGAATAATGAATTTCTTGGTGAACCTCTTGAACATGAAATTAATTTAATTAATAACAGTGAAATAAGTAAAGTACCATTAGATGAGAACAATGGTCAACAAAAAGAAATAGTTAGTGGCAGTGATAATGCAAAAAAGATTCAAAAGAATTTTTCGCCCAAAAAGATACAAAATAATCAAATGCAAAAATTCAATGAAGAAGATCCTGTGAATGCACATAATTCAGATGTGTCTATAAATAAGCAAAAAGTACAAAGTGGTGTAGAAACAAATAATATGAATACTACAAAAAATAATTCTAATTTGGATATGAATTTAGATATCTCATCCCAAATTGTACTAGGTGAAAATATTTCAGACAAAATTGACAAAAATAAAAGGATGAATACAAGTAAAAGAAAAAGGGAGTATGTCAAAGGATTTTAAAAAGTCTTGTGTGCATTTCATAAATTGTTTTCCACATAATTTTTACATTAAAAATTATTTGTCTAGTATTTAATTTGACTAATAAAATAATAACATGCAATTTCAAAATGTAAACATTTTATGACTAACGTATAAATCAGCCTGAAATTATTAAACTGTTTTTTTAATAAATGAAAAGTTGAAACAATATATTTAATTTTAAATATTAATATATGTATTAAAATAAAGATTCAGAAACAATAAATACATTTAAATAAATTTTAAATTTAAATAAATTTTAATAAATTGCTATGATTTATTTTAAATTTTACCAAAAGCTAAATACTTACCACATTTTTATTTTTTCAAATTATTCTTAGAAAAAAGAGTTAATCGGTTATAAAAATATGCTCTTTTATTTTAATCATCCGGAATACCACTTTATGAGATTTTATAGATTAAAACCTTGTTTTCATATTTGCTTTCATCATTAGTAATAATATCACTTTGTATTTTAACCTTTTTATATTATTGGGTTTGTAGAAATTTAAAAAAAAACTCAAATTTTCGTAATACTAACTTTATAAATGTCAAAAATATAAATAAGCTTTTTATATTATATAGATAATAATTCAACCATGTGTTATTTATAAAATATTAGGCAATCAATTGATACATGTATATTATTTAATTATTCCAGCGAACAAACGACTGTTTCCTTTTTTTATTTATTGTATCAAAAAATGATCTTTGGGAAAGTATTTTGGTAAAATTGCCAAAGTACATATTCAATTCAAGTCAAAGTCGACGTCAAAGAAAGACAATATATTTAATTTTATATATATATGTATTTATATAGATATATATATATATATTTCTTCGTCTTATATAATATAATGATGTTATGCAAAATACACTGTATGTATGCATGCATATAAGATAGTATTTATAAACTTGTTTTTATTTGCTTAATTTACATATTATATTTATTTTTTTTCAATCATTATAATTAAACGGATTCTATAATTTACATAAAACATGCATTTAAATTATTATTATTTTTTATTTATTACATTTTCACCATTTAATCTCCATTATTAATGCTTACATAGTCCTTGCTTTTTTTTTACTTTTTGTTTTATTCAAGAAATCTCTTAAATTTTTTCAATATAATTTTACACAAAAATTTTATTCATATTTTTTTTTGTTTTTCAACTTTAATCTTAATTATATAATATGGTATATTTAATAATTAATATATATCTGTACTATTACTTTATGTCCACAATTTTTATAATTTTTTTTGTTAATTTTTTAATTTTTTTCACAAATTTTAATTCTTAAAACTATAATTTTAAAATTTATATATATATATATATATAATATTTATATAAAAAAAAATTGTTTTCTTTTGCAAAGAAAAAATAAGAGCACAAAATTGTAAGTATTAAAAAATACTATTTTACTTATAAAATACAATTACATAATATATAATAAATATATATGTATATATATTATTTAGTGTTTCTTTTTTTATTTTTTTTTTAAACTAAGTCAATTGCATCTATCCCTTACTAAATAATTAACTAAATAATTCAATTAGTGAAAAACTCAATTAATTTTTTAAGGGAATTTAAAGTGTTGTATTCATACATATATATACAAACTTAGATAAAAATACTACTTTGTTTTGTAAATATATAAAATTTTTTAAAAAATTTAAAAATAAAAATTAAAAAAAAACAATAAATTTTTTTTCGTTTCCTTTTTTTTATGAATTAACCATATGGAAAAATAATCATAATTTTTATTTAATATTTATCTAAAAAGAAAAAGAAAATAAAAAAATTAGAACTGTGAGAAGCAGCAACTAAAACTGTAACATTAAGAACTAAAATATTAAACAAAGTAACATGAAAAAATGTTAGAAAACAGATCAAGAAAATAATGGTTCTTTTGATTCAAAAAAAATAGAAAATAAATTTAAGTTGTATTTAAAATTTCTCAAAATAAGAAGCAAATCAAAATAAAAACAAGTGAAGACAAATAAAAATTCAAGCGAAAAAAAAAAAACATTTACTATTTTATTTAAAAAAAAGTACATATAATTAAACTTAAAACAATATGGAGAAATAGATAATTATTTTCTTCTTACATTTTAAAGTTTTAAATTTATGGAGTTAACATTTTCTGACTAATATTTAAAATATTAATATTAATTAAACTTAAAAATGTTTGGGTAATTTTTTTGTAAGAAACTAACACATTAATTATAATAAGAATTTTTTTATGAAATGTGAAAAATCATTATAATTCGAAAAATGGAACCAATTCATTTTTTTGGTAATCAACGGAATGGTAAAGTATTTTGATATATCAATTTCGCATAGAGAATGATTTTTAAAAATATTTACATTTTTTTTGTTTGGAATTCAATAGCAATCAAATCAAAAACTTTCTTATTTTTCAAAACTTAAGTTAATAAAATACAACTCAAAAGAGATCTTAAGGATTATTTAAATATTTTGCACTTTTCGTTTTACTATTTGAAAATGAACCATTTAAAATTTGTTTTTAATTCAAATATAAATATTAAATATGATAAAATTGTATCATTTTTGTACATTTCCATAATGAAAATAAGCTAAATGGAAAAAATTAATTAGTTTAGGCGCCATTTTAAAAAAATTTAGGCATTTATGTAACAATAAGAAATTAAAACCGAATTAAAGAAAAATATGTACTTTTCAACAAAGTTTAATTTAATTTAAAAGAAAAAAATTCAGTGGATATTATCTGTTTGGATCTTCAAAACTTAAACTTCCAATTGCTGATTGATTTGTAAAATCACTAAGACCACTTTCAACACATACTACATCTTGTTTAGAATTGTCATTAAATTTTTCAATTTCAACGTTGTTAGCAACAATATTATCACCAGCGACTCCATCGTCTTTGGTATTCTTTGAAATGATACTATTGCTATTGTTATTGTTATTATTAATATTATTGGTACCACTAGTTGATGATGAAGACGCTGATGATGTTGTAAATAATTCTAACTGTAATTCTGGATCTGAGCTTATTGAACTTACCAGTTGTGGTGATATTTGACTTGATTCGACTATTAAACTTTTTGTATTAAATAAGCCACCTAAAGGGGCTGTAGTTTTTGGTGGAGCTATTGCTGGATTAGTTACAGTTATTGGTAATTCTAATGATGATGGTACTGTTGTTGATTGTGTAGACACTCCAATAAATGCAATACAATCTTCTAAATTTTGTGGTGTCGCTAATATTCTTTCAGTATTATTTAAATTAACTGAATTACTTCCAGATATATTATTATTTTGTTCGTTATTAACATTATTATTATTAACACTATTATTAATATTACTAGACACTCCACTTATAGTATTTAATAAAAGTGTTTCATTATCCAATTGCTTTGATGGTTTCTTTTTATTAGAAGGTACTTCCAAAGTTGACATAATTGGAGGTTGCGTCAAAAGTGCATTTGTTTCATTTGTTTGAGCTGTAACCGGTGGTGTTAATGCCTGAAAAGCGGGTCCTAAGCCTTCTTCGGGAACACCAACACCTCCAGTGTTTACTAAGGACACCTGACTTGTTTCAATTTGCAATACATCAATTAATGCTGATGCTAATATGTCGGTGCTAGCTGCAATGTCCTGGCTGGCTGTTTGTAGGAGAATTTGCTCTCCACCTCCTGAAATTGCATAGAGATAATATTTTAAATGAAAACAAAAAAAAATTAATAATTTTATTATAATTGAAGAAATTATATTTGTGAAGAAGTATAATTAATTTTATTCTTTATTTAGTAATGACTTAGTTTTTAAATACGTTACCAGTAATTTTATAATAATTATTTGTTATAAACAATATCTAACACCTTTGATTGACAAAAAACTAAAGTATTTATGTAACGCTTAAATTTTTAAAAATTTGGAAACACGAATAAATTAATTTTAACAGGATTAATTAGAAGGTGTACATGTTAAAAATATTCTAAACTCCCCCTCCCATCAGAAAATATATATTATTGAAAAATTCTTTTAAAATAATGCCAATACCATTTGAAAATTAAAGTCTGTACTGGAAAACAAAATGTTTTGAAAATATCAATTCCACTCAGTAATCAAACAATAACAAATAATTCTCTAAAACAAAATTCAACGCCTTGAGTAGATTGTTTATGAAATTCCTGTTACTAGAATACTTTAAAAATAAAAAAAAAGAAAATAATAATTTTTTGTTTAACATTATTTCTATTTTATTCTGCCTTACATGTTCTAAGTTTAATATTCAGATTATTCAACGAAATGAAGAAAATTATCTATACAAAAACTTAAATTATTCTTAACTAACTTAGTAAGGTTTTTTATTAAAATAATAAAAATTATATAAACTACTTTCAACTAACAGATTTTAAATGACAATTAGTAAAGTAGATGAACGATCATAATTAAAATCTGGCGAATTACAATGTTTGAATATTTGAAAATTAAATTGTAATTAAATTTCAGAATGCCATAAATGAAATTGCAAAACAGAATTACTTTGAACATAAAATTTTTTCTTTCTTATCTAATTAAATTAAAAAGTAACGTTAATTTAATGCTTTTCAATAAAATATTTAATTATAATGAAATAATATAAAAATTTATAGTGATGCAATATTTTAATTTTTTTTTATTTTAAAATATATGTATGAACATGGTGAAAATGGTGCTAAACTTCGTGCTAACTTAGATTAAATGATAAACTGTCAAAAATTAAATTACCTGACGAATTTTCATCTCCACCACTACAACTAGCACCACTTTCAGTCGAAATAACATTTTCATTATTATTAACCCCAATACCAAGCGCAGCTAAAAATTCGCCAGTTAACTGTAGAATTTGACCATCTTGTGTTTCAAGTTGGGTATTTTCACCCCCAGCGGCTACCAGCGCCAAAAAACTTTGTTGATCTAATATTAATTGTTGTCCATCAATGTTTATGCAGATTGATTGATCTGGACTCAATATATTTGATAATTCTGCAGCTGTCAAATTATTAGTTGGTACAAATTGCTGGCCAACGTCGACGTTATCTACTGACGTAGTGTTACTTGCAATAGCGCTGTTATCTGAATTTTGTTTAGCCGGATCAATACAAATATTTGTCGAATCAGTACCTGTTTCCATTAAATTCATTTGTTGACTGCCATCGATTATTCCTGAACCATCCGGTGCAGCGGTGGCAACTGTCTTCGCATTTAAAACTGACAATGGTACTAATTGATTACTTTCTGGATCTAAATATAGTTCTTGGTTATCAATCGGCATATAATTTCCTTCATTGTCTTGCGAACAAAGATAATAAGCGCTTCCAGGTATTCCAAAATGATTTGCTGGGACAGCCATTATTTTGTTAGCAGCAATCTCTTCCTCGATAAGAAGCTGTTTTTGCTGTTGTTGTTGTTGTCGTTGTAACTGTTGTTGTTGAAGATGTTGTTGCTGCTGTTGTTGCAAAAGTTGTTGTTGTTGAAGTTGATGCTGCTGCTGCTGTTGTATAGATGTTTGCTGTGGTAAAGTAGCTTGCGGTTGTAATTGTGATTGATTTTGTGTTTGGTTAGGTATTGCACAGGAATTTGAATCTATTTGTGGTAATATTTGCGTTTTTGTGTTGTCGTAATGTATGCTGGACGAAGAAGATGCTACTTGATTATGTGCTGATAGTTTCGTTTGATTTAGTTGCTGAGACTGCGGTTGCTCCAGTTTCTGTTGTTTATTTCGTTGTTGAGTATTTAAGTTTTGATTTGGTGGTATTATAGGCGTTTCTAGTTCCTTACGTTTTCTGCCACGTTGATCTACAAGATTAAAAAAGTATTTTCAATTTCCTTTACTTTATTTCGTTTGACAATACTTACTAAACGCGTTAGTCATTTGTTGGCACTGCTTTTGTTGTTGCTGTTCTTGTTGTTGTTGTTGGATTTGTCGTATAATTACCTCACTATTTTCACCGCCAACATAGGTTGTCCTTTGCAGATGCGATTTTTTCGGTTTACTATTTTGTGCTCCAGGTTGTTGAGAAATTTGCGTTAATTGTTGGTGTGGCGGTTTTTGTGCAACAGTTCCACTCTCATACAAAGGCGTAACAACAACTTCGTTTGAACTTGAAGGATTATTTGTGAATTGATTTCCGTGCTGTACATTTGTAGATTGCGTTATATTGTCAGTGCCTGAAATTATACGATGGTAGTTTATTTAAAATAAAAAATGAAGTTTAAAGTTTATTTTTCCCTCATAATTCGTAATATTTATAATTCGTGTTAAATATTAACAATAAGTACTCTATGTCACGTTTTTACTTTTATGTATAATGTAATAAATTGTATATGTACTTGAAAATTTTTTATGAAAAACTCTTAAATAAAACTTTTTTGATTAAATTACCTTTGTTAGGAAGAACAATTTGACCACTTCTTTGATTAGGGAAGCTTTTAATTTGTGGTTGTTGCTGTGGTTGAGATAATTGTCCTAACTGCTGTTTATGGATATTTTCTGAAGTTTTAATAGAATTTTCGTTAGAGACCGTTTTTTCGTCTAAACTTGTAGTTTGTTCCGTTGGTGTTTTGGGCATTTTCATTAATTTTTGATTATTTTTGCCATACTGAATTAGAACAATACTATTCCCCGAAGAATCAACGCCTAATTCGCGACTGCTAGTTGCTTTAACATTATAGGTTTGACTACAACTTTCAACAGTTGAAATTTGAGATAAAGCAGACGTAATACCCGATTGTGATTTTTTAATAAAACCTGAATGTTGAGTGGAATTTAATGAAGATGTATGTTGTGCCATTTTAGAAGGAAGCTTTTGTTGCGTCACATTATTTGATAATATTTGATTGTATGCCGGTGAATTAGTACATGTAGTCTGAGGTAAAGATGGATCTGATTTTCGCGGCCTGCCTCGAATTTTTTTAGCTGGAATACATGAAAAAAAGAGATTGTTAAATAGATTCAAAAATGTTTCTACAAATTTACCGTTTGGAGTAAGTATTTGTTCTACAGTTTGTTGGCGATCATCATGCGGTAGTACAGGTTCTTGGGTTATAACGAATTGAATATTATCTTGTAGCATTTCCTCATTTGTTGTTAGCAAGATTGGCAAAGTTGATATATCAAAAACATTTTCTGTAGAAGCCGCATCTGTAGTTGATATGGTAGCGGACGAATTTTCGTTGACTTGCTTCTTAGTTTCTTTAGTTTTTAGATTTTTTAACAAATTCTCAGTAGTACTACTTTCTCTCGCACTAGTGTGTTGTTCATTTCCGGAAGTATTTTTTTCTTTTTCTTCTTGTAAGCTGTTTGGTGGCACAAGTAATAATTTCTTAACACTTCCGGGTTTCTGACTTTCTGATATCTTTTGGGGCTTTTCTGGTGCATTTTTTATAGTTGTTTCTTTTAAAGCTTCATTTAACATAACAGGCGTATTAACTGAAGCTGTTTTGTCAATGATAAAGGTGGGAATGTCTTCCTCAATTGATAGTTTTCTCTTTTTTGTGATAGATGTTAATGTAGTAATTTTGTTAACGGATTTGTTGGAAATTTCGTTAGTTTTTATACTTTTAGTATCAGATCCCGTTGCTAAAATGTTTGCAATTTGTGTCGCTAGAGGATTTTCGCTGTCAACAGTAATTCTAGTATTCCCCGGTGAAGTGGAGGTTCTACATTGTATCTGAGTCGAATTAGTATTTTGTTGTGCTTCAGCCAAACGATCAACAGCTTTTAAAATGTGGAAGTCGGGACATGAACTACTGCCTAAAATACTGCTACCACTTTCGTCATAACCACAATTGTTGGAATTTTTAATTAGTTCGTCATTTTCCTTTTCGTTAAGTTTATCTGGTATTTTAATTTCAGAAGCATTTTCCTCCCCAATAGACTGTTTTAAAGAATTAAGAGGCACATCTTCGGATTGTGTTAACAGTTCGCTGCTTAAATTTTCAGTACTTACTGAGATAGAAGATTGTCGACTAGGATATTTTCGCTTTGGGCGGAAAGATCTGATGTCAGACAAAGATTCAGTTGCATTAACTTTTGCAACTATAGCTTTTGCTTGTTCTATTAACGGAATTTCATATGTTTTGTTGACAACAATTTCTGTTTGTTGAATTTTTTCTAAATCGATATTGTGAAGTTCAGTTTGTTTAATGTCTTCCAATGTTATTGATTTATATGTTTTTGCAATAGAATCAGTATTTTCTGGTTCTTTCACACTCTCTTGATAAGAATCAGGTTGTAGGGTCCTTGGCGTAATATTTGTTAATTCTGCAGATGTTCCAAGTTGCATATCATATTTAAGAGGAGTTAAATTTAACATACCTGCATCTTTCATGTATTTTTCGACAAAATTAGCTTCATATTGTTCAGTAATAGATTTTTCTGTTTGCACTTTCTCGGTTTTACTAGGCATATCACTTTTAGCTTCTTCTTTATTTAATTCAGATTTACTTTCTTCTCCAATACTAAAAAATGAAGGAACAATAATTTCCTTTTTTGCATCACTGCAATCAGAATTAGTTTTTGCTTTTTCATCTTCTAAATTTTTTGAATTTTGTAGTTTTTCCAAAGCGGTGTTATTTACTGGATGGGATTTATCTTTTTGATCATTTTCAAAAGATTTCTCAGAAATTATTGCATCAGATGCATTTAGCAAAGATTTCTCAGAAATTACTGTATCAGATTTTACAGAATCAACATCAGACTCATTTTTTCCCTTCTGTGACAAATTTCCTTTTATTGGGTACTCATTTTTGCCCCTAATTGTTTCTGGGTCAACATTATCCAAAGCTATGTTTTTTAAAATTTCATTGTGAGCTGTTTCCTTTTCAGTTGAATTTTCACTTTGTGGACCGATGTTTTCGTTAGATTTTTTTGGTGACATTTTAGGCGAGACTTCTTCTATTTTTAAGTGAGAATTTTCTTCTTTTTCAGTATTCTTAACAATATCTTGATCATTGTCTTGTGTCGGTTTTTGCGGTTCTTTTTCAACTCCAAATTCTCCTCTGAATTGAGATTCCTGCTGGTGTTTTCCAAGTTCAGTACCTTCTTCAAGCACATTTTTCTTTCTAGGTGTAACTTTTAAGTGGGAACGTCTTCTACGAGTTATATTATTTCCAGACGTTTCATTTTCAGTTTTTTCGTCAGAAATAATCTGTGAATTACTTCTATTTTCTTCTTTGTGAACAGATATTTCTTCATCAACAGAATGTGGGGTAATTTGCAGGTCTAAGTTCGTGTCTAATAACACATTTTGGTTTAATGAAATTGGGGCTACTTTTGTAGATTCGATTAAATTTGTGTCGTAGCTATTGAGAGAAACGGATTTCGTTTCGGGGTTAGTAGAATTTTCCAAATTTCCTTCATTTTCAAGTTTTTCTAAGTCATTTGTTTTCAGTTCAAGTGAGCCTCTTTTTCTTTCCTTCTCTTTAGTTTGTACATTGTATCCATTTTCATTTAATATGGAATTACTATTTGATTCACTACGGCTGTCTTTCAAATTTGTAGTTGAAATATGTAAATCTTTAGATGTTTCCAGCAATATGTTATCCCTCTCATTTACTTCTAATTCTTTTCCCATTTCAAATTCGTCTTCTTTTGTAATTTCAGATCCTTTAATTGAACCAACAGCATTCACTTCTTCTGTCTTTGGCTCCACAGATTTTTCAACCGTATCAGAAGTCAATATTTCGTCTATTTCATTCGATTGTTTTTCTTGATGTTTTTCATTTAAGTTTAATTTTTTCACTTCACTTAATTTTTGGAGATCTGCAAGTGAGTCGGTAGTTATTGCAGACATGTTATTGTTGGTTGCCTTATCAGTATGAGTGCTTGTATTCAAGGACAATGGAACCGTTTGATGTTCTTCATTACGAGATACATTTCTAGATTTGAAAAATCTTTTACCCCTTTCTTTGATTGGTAAAGTTTTGACTTCGTCAGATGTTACTGAATTTTGTAGGTTAGTACTGTTATTTACTGTTGTTGAAACTGTTTTGCTTGGTGTTTTAACTAGCGATATGTCCGACATTCTTGTGTCATTCAACAAATTTTCGATTTCAACCTTAAAAAAAGAATGTTATTCAAAAAAAAAAAAATAATTATTTTATACCTTTAATTTTTCGTCCTCTTTTTCTATTTGTTTCTGTTTTTCTTTATCCATTGACGGAAATAAATCAGATTCCTTTTGTTTATCTGGGGACATAAATTTCTTTTTAAGTTTTGAAAGCGATGTTAGTACGAGTTCGGTGTCATCTTCCTCTTGGAAATCAAAAATTGTAGCTGGAGTGTCATCCTTACGAATTTTGTCCACTTTTTGCTGTTCCACAGAATCTTTCCGAAACAATTTTCTTTCGACAGATTTTTGTTTAGAATAAGATTTTTTTGGTGACTTTTTTGGAGATTTTGGGCACACTTTTTCAATTCCCTTCTTAACTTCATTTTCCGTATTCATTTTTTCCTCAGTTGTTTTTTCAATATCTGTTACATTAGAGGAAACAGTCATTACTTTTAAAGTGGCTTCCTTACCAGATTCTTTTGAGGATTTTATTATTAATTTTGGAATTATTTCTCTATCCTCTGAAAAATCTGAAGGTTTAGTATCCAAAACTTGACTTTTTGTAGCTTTGTTTTGCCTAGATCCAACTTTTTTGGGTTTGGAGGATTTTAAGTTATTACTTATAGGGGATATTGGTTCGTCTGATTCTTTAGCTTTCTCAGTTTTCATTTCTAGCTTTGTACTTTCAATGTCAGTTTGGTGATATTGAAGTTTTTCCTCTCCTGTGAAACTGTCTTCGTCAATTTCTGTATATTCCTTTCGGATCTTACGTTCTCTTAATGTTCTACCAACAGGTTTTTCTTGGATTGGCAGATTTTCAGTCATAACCTTTTCCTGCTCACACTTTTCAGTTTCTTGTAACTCTGAGGGCGTAGCTTTTATTTCATTTTCCAAGAATTCAATGAATCTATCAGAATCTGTCCGCTTTTTCTCTGTGGAATCCTGCTTCGACTTCTTTTTCATTTTTCGGGGAGTTTTTGTATCCTCTTCGTTTATTTCAATATTTTCAATGTCACGTATTTCTTTATTCACATCTTCTTCGTTTATTTCACTATTTTCTTGTATTATTTCTGGGGTTTCGTCAGATATTTCATTCATTTTTTCAGTAACTATTTGAGTATTTGTTTCATACTGAGAATTTGTAGGAGCTTCCATTTGTACATGAAGTGGTGAGTCAACAACAACAACAGGGGATGGAGTGCTTATTTCTCGCCCCAAAATCTTATATATGTTGTCAGATTTACGAGATGACTTTCTTATTTTGTTGCTCAAACTTTTATTTAAATGGGCAACAAAACGTTTATTACGCCCGTGTGGTTTCACCATTTCCAAAGATTTTTCACTTGTATCTTCTTGTTCCTCTGGTATTTCGACTGATCTTTGTAATTCTTCAATAACATCTTCTACATTAGCATTTTCTGATCCATTGCTTTGCTTTTCAACTATTTCGTTTTCTTCATTTTCAATACATGAAATTTGCTCTCGCTGAATTTGACATTCTTTGTCATTTTTGTCAAATATCTCTTCTGCATTCGACATACCTACTTTGCAATTTTTGTTGAATTCGTTAACATTTACATTTTGATCTAACTCCATTGCGTTATCTGATATCAGTGTTTTAGTAATATTTCCATTTTCTTTTGAATTTGATTCAATTTCACTTGAAATTTTATCTGCTTTATCCAAATTTGAATTGTTCTGGTTTTCAACTATATTTTTTTCTAATAATATATCTGCTTCTTTTGAATTATTATTTATTGAATTACTGTGTTCCACAAGCATTTCTACATCATTAACTTTAGAAGAAGGTTCTTCAGATTGAGTCTCTTTTTCAACGGGTTCGTTAACGTCATTAATTGGTTCGAATTCCGGGCTTTCAATTTGCTCACTTTCGACTGGCCGATCCGATGCGCAATTATCTTTTTGTGAATTTTCGTCTGTTACTAAATCGTTATTAATTGTTTGATTTTCAATTGTGTCTTTTTCATTTGTTTCCTCTATTACATTATTCGTTGTTTCAACAACAGCTACACTACTTCTCTTTTCGGTATCCATTTCGGAATCGGTATCGACTTTTTCTTCCACTATAATTTTCGGACTATCAGAACGATTTTCTGTATTTATTTTATCAATCGAATCAAAGTTGTTATCAGTCTTCGGATGATTTAATTCAGATGCACTACTTTCCATAATGCAAAAGCTCTTATTTTGCAATGCGTCTTTAGAAAGCGCATTTGTAGTACCAGTAGAATCAATTTGTTTTAAGTTAGGTTCGTTACAGCTACCTTCGATTGTTTCTGCACTGTGTTGGGCATTAGAAGAAATCGTCTCCTAAAAGAAATATTTACAAACAGTAAGGTATTTTATTGCAATGCAAAGGTTCAAAAATTCATATTATAAATTTAAAATTTATGTTAAGTACTTACACGATTTTCCAGAATAATATTTGCATTTGGAGTAATATTTGATGAGGAATCACTATAATCTTCAAGAATAATGTTACGTTGTCTGTCCTTCTTAGGTATATTTCTTATTTTTTGGATCGTTAGAGGACTTTTATTTTTATCATTACGCTCTGATTGCTGTAAATTTTTCAGAACTTCAACATCAGATTCATCTAGTCTACTACAACCTAAATTTTCATGTGATTTATTTTTGCATAAGGAAACTTCGTTATCCGGTGATTTATTCGAAATATCTCTATTAGAATCATCTTTAACGTTATTCTGCGATGCAGTATCATCGTCACTCCAATCTTCAAATATGTCTTTTAGTATTCCTTTCCGAAATTGCTTTTTGGGTGGTTTAATTAACGGAATATGATCGGTTTTGTTTTTTGCTATATCAATGTTTTCTACCATTTCACTTGAAGTGTTTGTTTTCATAGGTGTACTACTAGTAAAAATATTAGTGTTTTTATTTCCCCTGATTTTTTTCTTTTTATCACTATTTGCGCTTGCTCTAAATGGTAAAATTTTTTTAGCAGATATTGTTTTGTTCCCCGAAGATGATGATGACAATGATTCTTGTGGTGATAATGAAACATCAATGATTTGAGAATCTGATGATGTGTCGATTGTTGTGACAAGAGTTTGAGGGGTATGCGTTCGACTTACATTATCACTGTCAGAATCATCATCAATCACAATTATCGAATTATCTTTGGGTACGTTTTGAGTCGAATATCTATTGTTTTCTGGCAATAATCTGGATGATCCCGATAGATTTAAATGTGTTTTAGAATGTAAAATTATGACATTTTGGCGCATACTTGTAAAGGAACACAAATGACATCTATAAGTCCCTGCTGAAGGTGTGTTTGGATTTGAGTTCGAACTTTGGAAGTGCGTTTTTTGAGGGGAATTGTTTATATTGGGCGTTGATATAGATGGTTTAATGATATTTTTTACTGTTACAACGCTGCGACCTCTTAAGTTATTTAAAATTCTTGGAGATTTTTCGGTTAAATTAGATTTCTGATTATTTTTAGGAGATTGTTGCGTTTTCTTTTGGCTAGACTGTGATGATGTATCTCCAAAAATCATTTTTACAATGTTGGATCTCCTTGTAGCAGAGGCTTGCTTGTTTATAGATAAATTTTCTAGTATGTTTATATCCCCACCGGTTAATTTTTCTGCTGTTATTACATCTTCACGAAATTTGTCCGAAAAAGAATTGTTTGAAGATCTTTTTGACTCTGAAATACATATATTTGAATTGATTTTATAAGGTTTTATTTTATTTTAATTTTTATTTACCCAGTCCTTTTTTAATAAAGTCATTTTTTTTAGGACAATTATATTCGTAGATGGAATTGACATTTTTTACATACTCACTGAAATAAAATTAATATCATAATATATAATCAACACACAGTTTTATTTCATTTTTACTTACTATGAATCTTCTTTGAAAAATTTAACAACTGCAATTGGTTTTTTCTTTAGAGAACTTAAATCATCTGGAACTTCATTTAGATCCCATACTTCTCCTGGCCACCAGCTGTTACTTAACTTAACCCAGACTATATCTCCAGGTTCGAATACGTTTGAAGACATTTTCAAATTTTTAAATTACACATAAAATATATTGTTTCTCAATTTGATAGTCCAATATTTTTCATTTCACTAAAATTTTAATTAATATTTGATTCAATATATGTATAATTTTAGCTACTATTTCTATATAAACTAGGCAATATGACGTACTATTAAGAGTTTGAAAAAATAAAAACAGTTATAGAAATGTATGATATTAGCATTTATTAAGAAAAACAAAGACTATAATTTTTTAAAACTAAACATACAGAATTATTTTTTTACAAATTTAAAACCTAGTTTATACTTTGTAAAATTACAATGGCGTTTTGACAATTCAAATTGTCTAAACAAGAACTTAACTACAAATATACATTTTTAAAAGCACCAACTTCTTTTAATTAACATATTTACCTATGCGTATAACATTTATTTCAAATTGTTAACTTTCAAATTAAATGTTACGTCTTTATTTTAAAATTTATTTACTTTAAAATTTTCCTTTTTCTACTAATAAACAGAATATAAGAAATATTTTTCAGACATTTTCTTTATTGCAAAGAAAATACAAAAAGCATTGATAAATCTCTCTTTTCGTTGTTGCCAAAAAATAGCGTGATAAAATAGGACGACTCTATTAAACAAATGCGCGTCAAATTGTAAGGGGATTTGCTGTCAGGATTTTTTAATTTCTAGTTTCGGTATTTAGAACGCTCTCTAAAGGTAAACATCCATAATTTAAGTTTTTGTTTTTTTAATGAATTAGTAATATCTTTAACAAGAAAAAATATATTTGTATGCATGCATTACTAAAAATTAAAAAGTTTTGTAATATCACTTCATGACATGCGGTTGTGATATAAAAAAAAACTTCAAACTTTACTGATATTATGATAAAATCTTTTCTGAATTATAAATCGCATCGCTGAGGATCCTGAGTTGATTCCTTTGAAAAACATATACATGTAGCTTAAATTTGGCTCACATATCAAATTTTGGCGTAAAATTTAGTATGTACAACATTTTCAATAATGAAAACTGAACAAAATTAAATTATTCAAAAATTCGATATTTTGATTTCAATAAAAATTAAACGAGCAATTGTTATATACTCCATTTTTTTCATCAAATAAAATTCATGAATTTACCTACATTTATAACAGAATTCATGAAAAATGTTTAAAGTACAAAAACTGAACCGATTAGTGTTTAGTGCATAAATATCAAATTGAAATTTACTCTGTTAGTTGCCAAATTTTTATTATATATTTGATATGAGCAATGTCGAAATTGCTGTGCGACATCCGCAACGGGGGTAACGTATATTCAAGTGAGAGTAACAGAAAAACGACATACTGTTGAAATTTTTTTTATGTTTTTTTTTTGTGTTTTTACCTTAACTTTCATTATGTAAAAAAAATTGTTTATTTTAAAAAAATTTGTTTATTTAGTTTTTTCTTAACATTTTGGATTGACACTTACTTGCTTTATTAATTGTACATATTGATATTTTCTTTAGTATCAAACGTTAAACATATTAGTTTTAATATCTGCCAATAGATGAAAATTTAAATTTGATCAATAGTCATATGAAAATTAAATTCAAAGGGTACGAAATTCTCTAATCATGTATATAATTGAATTCAATTTATAGATGAAATAAATATATATGCTTGTAAATAGATTAAATAAATAAGATTAAAATAAATACATATTATGTAAACGGAAAATTTACAAAAACTCTGATCAAATTTTTTATTTTATGCAGTTGATTTTGTTATATAAAAAACAATTTTTTAAAACGCGGTCATGACATACATACATACATACATATGAATTAATTTTTGTGTATTCATTTGGATTTTATTTATTTTAAACAGAGAGATGCGAATTTGCTTTTAAATAAATATTCAATTTTAATATTATTTAGGGTCACTATAAGACTTTTATGGTTTAAGGACCACCATGTAAAAAAATTTACAAATTGTCAAGATAATTTACCATTCTGTAAATGCTATTAATTTATTATAATATAGTCGAACATTTAAACAACGAACATACTTAAGCTCTGCCAAAAGGAAAACGAGTAATTTTTATATATAATACATAAGTATAAGAACGCATGCTTTAAATTACTTTTCCATAATTACATACATACATATATATTAAATAGCTTTATAAAGCTACTCAGCAGACATAGCACATGGTGGAAATTAAAAAATGAAAATTTCTCAATAATCTAAGTGTGGATCATAGAAAGAAAATTTTTATTTACGCATACATATATATTTACAAACTTACAAAAAAACTTTTTATATAAATAGCAAAAAAGAAAAAAAAATACTATACATAATATATATACACATACATGACTCAACTTTCGCCGAATTCAATGGTAAATCACTCCTCTTTCAAAGCAAAAAAAAAACTGAATAAAGCTCAAAATTTTTTTATTTAATATAAAATTCAAATAAAATTTGAAATTTTTTCATTAAATTTGTTTATTTTAAAATTTCAAAATTTATTGATATATTTTGTTTTGTTGAAAAATTAATGTATATTTATATGTATATTTTATAGGTTTATTATGTATGATGAATTCGCTATTCCATTGGCAAATAAATCCATTCGCCATATACATAATACTAATTGCTAGAGAATCCACCAGGTCATAAAAAAGTTTGATAGCATAAACAATGAATATCCTTTCATATAACTACAGAACAGATAAATGATGTAGTCAAAGGAACGTGTTAAAATATTAAAAATATTAAAAAGATTTTTTTATAATAATTCCTGAATAATTTTTATAATAGTTAGATTCCTGAGAAGTTTAGCAGTTCTATATTTCTGTAAAAACTTTTATTATACGTTATACTCATAATATAATATGATGCCGCTACTGACTTTATATTGCACATGTATGCGAAATTTTAAAGTTTTATGTATACGTTACAATGTTTACTTATTGTAATATGTATTTAGTAAATAAAATAATAATATTAATAAAATAATATAATAAAATATATAAAATCAGCTGATAAATTTATATACAAATATATTATATAAAATTAGTTTTAAATATACACAAATATACTTATGTGTATATTTATTTTATGAATATATAAAGAGGTTTCAAATCTCTTGTATATTTTTCTGATACAAATACAAATCTTTATTTTTATAATATTTTAACTTAATTGTGGAACATACGAAATTATCCCTTTTTCTCTCAGAGAAAAAATATATATATAATAAATCATTGAGTTTTATTATTTTTTTACATTCATGTTATATATTTCTTGGGTTTCTCCGTTTTTTTTTGTTCTCTCTCAATTTCTCTTTTGAAATTTTCTTGTATACTATCATTTTTATTAAATATATATATATGTGTAGTAAAAATTTGTATAAAAATACAAATTTAAGCTTTTTTTATTGCTTTACAAAAACTTTTTCCTTAATATCATTTTCCTTTGATAAATATTCCATAATCCGATGAAAAATAGGTAGTGATAGTACTGTTGTTCAAATAAGGATGAAAATAAAGAGAAAAAAAATTTAATTTAATATTTTTAGTATAAATGTTTTTCAATATGTGTATATAATAAAGTAAAAGGAATATTTTCTATTAAAAATTCGATTTTGATTTAAAAAAAAAAAAAATTAGAAAAAAAAAATTCATATATTATATTTAATATTCAAATTTATTTTTAAAGAAATTTTCTCAAATGGAAATAAATTAATAAAAATATTTGAAAAATATAAAAATAAAATTCATATAAAATAATAAAAGTGCTTAAAAGGTCTAATAAAAATGTTCCTAAATTAAATTACTCGTATTCATTTTTTTGTTATAAATGTATTGAAATTATAATTGGGAAAGAAAGAAGTAAAAAAAAAATATTGAAAAAAAAAAATAACAAAATCAAATTTCCTTTTTCATTGTAAAATTGCAAAATATATATTTTCGTTTTTCTTATTTTTTTTTTTTAATTTAATTTTATGTACTAGTAGTTCTTTGCCGAGGAAAAAATTTTCGTATATATATATACGGCGCGGATTTAATAATATTCTTATGTACAATATTACAAAATTATTTATAAATATAAAAATAAATTAATGTACATTCAAATGTATATAATATATAAGTAAAGTATATGGGAATATTATAATTTGTTATTTATATATATGTGTATGTATTATTATATACGGTCTAAGGATATATATAAAAGGAATATATATACTATAATAATATAAAGAGTGTGCTTTTAGGCGACTATATGCGTATGTATATAATATAAAAATAAAAAAGTAGTAAATTTTAAAATTTTATTTTTTATACGTATACATATGTATAATAAATGTATATGTATAATTTAAATTTTCTATAGTAAAATATATGAAAATAATAATAAATAAAAGAAAACAAAAAAAAAACAATTCAAGGTTTTATACTATTATTAAATTTTAATTTTCTTGCTTCTATTTTTTTTTTGTTCTTACAAAATATATATAAAATAAATTAAATAATTTTCCTGATTATTTGTATATGTATATGTATGTATCTAATCCTTAAAAAAAAAATCATATATATTTAATAAACCGGCAATGAAATATAATAAACGGCAAAATTTTAACAATTATACACTATACAAAAAAATTTTTTTACCGAAAATAATCAGTAAATAAAATATAATAGTATAAAAGGATGTACATACATGTATTTAGTATATACATAATTATATTATATATTATATGCATATTTATTTTTTGTTTTTATTAATTGGTGTATATAATATATTAAGTAAGTATGTATATAATAATATTAAAGTGTATATAATGAATTGAATAAAACAAAAAATTATTTTATTAATTTTTCGAATTTTGTTTTTATAATAATCGAAATAATTTAAATTAAATAATCAAGAATAATAAAGTTACTACTATTAAGTGAAATTAATAATATATACACTCTCAATATAGTTATATACGCGTATGATTTATTATGATTTATTATAATATAATATTTAGTGGTTAATTAATAAAATTTATAATTTAAAATAATAATAATAATAATAAAAAATTAGAAATATTTAGAAAATTTTCAATATCTATAGTTAATTATTGAATATAATTAATATTTTGTATAATAATTATTTCAATTTCCTTTTTAATATATGAAAAATTTATTTAATATAATATTAATAGTGTTAAAAGTGGTTATTAATTATAAATTAATAAATTGATAAAAAGAATAAAAAATAAAAATATAAATAACAAAAAGTAAATATTATTAATTATATTAAAATAATTTATAATAATAACAAATTGAAAAATAAATTTTATTTAAAGACTAAAATTGATAAAAACTAAAATTGATTTTTAATATGGTAATTTAAGTTATTAATTAATTATCAATTAAATTAAAAAATTTAATGTGAAATTAAATTTATTGTGAATTTTATATAAAATTTTTTTAAATATTAAGTAGCTATTATTTTGATTTCAAAATCTTATTATTATATTGTGAATACCAAATTTAAATTTTTT